CAAAAAATGATTACGCGGCACGTTTTCTTTAAAAATGCGATGGAATATGCGGGATATTTATGCAATTTTTTGCTATGAAATTGCGGGAACTTGCAAAAACTGCGGTTTGATGAAAAAGAGAAAAAAGGGTGATTCCCCAACACCCTGTTCTCACTAGGCTACTACCTTAATGTAAAGAGTCATTTCTTATTACTTCCTATGATAAGCAAACATACTACATCACAGAAAGTGCTGGAAATATTTAATTTCTCATCTTGTTTTATTTCAGACTGTATCGAGTGGAAATAAGGTGTGGCCCCTTTAAGAGCTGTTGAACTGTCTGCAGTAACGTTATTATATTGTATGTGCGCCTCAAACACCCCATGTGAGCCGGTAATTTCTGTTTGAGGCTACTTCTTTTATCTTATTTTGTTTATTAAGTAACGATGTGGACGGTAGAACGTGTGACAGACAGTTATACGAGTTCGATTTGGGAATAAAGTGCGAGTTGTCTCCGTGAGTCTGTCTGGCCTCTGCAATAACTTCAGCTGTGAGCTATCCTCTAAAGGCCAATTTATACTTCTGCGTCGGGTGCGCGCAGTAGGTACGGCGTAGCATACGCACAGACGCGTACCATACGCCGTACCCTTCGCCGTAACCTAACGTGCACCTCCTCAAAAATGTAACTACACGTCGCGACGACGCGGACCGCAAGATCTGTGATTGGTCGGCTTGGGAGCATCGCGTTTCCTCCTATGTATTTCCGGCGTGTTCTTCTGCACCGCCCGCCATTTTTAAATTCTAAGTACAGCGAAACTGTTAAAAAAAACAAAAAAATTACCTTTTCCACCTCGATAAGCTCCAACTCCAACATGATCTGCTCTCTTTCAGTCGACATTGCTTGTAGTAACCTAAACTCAAAACAGCCGCGAGGAATCTTCTTCTTCTTGCCGCGAGGAATCTAAGCACAGTGGAACATTAAAACCCTCCGCCGCCAACTAGCGTTTCGGCGCTGTACTGCAGAGCAACGCAGACCTAAACGCAGAAGTGTAAATGCTCATGACGGCGTCGCCTACGTGCGTAGCGTACGCCGTACAGTACGGCGTACACTCGACGCAGAAGTATAAATTGGCCTTAACGTGACACAACGCGTTACAAGACCTTAATAAACACATCAAACTTACAAAACATTGATGAGTCAAACAAGTTCTGTAGCTTTTCTAGAAGAATATGCTACAACTTCAGTAAAAATTAATAAATTAAATATTTTAAAATAAAGTGTGCTCCTGTTTTACAGCTTTTCGATGATGTTCACGTCGCGTAATTACGTCACTTCATAACGTTCCCATGGCAACAGGGGGAAACGGCTTGTCCAACTTTCTGCTAAGATATATGTGACTTTTTTGCGACGAAAATGTGGGGATTATGAAATCATGCAAGCCCCGCATATTTTGCGCGGAAATCAGCAATTTATGCGGCGAAATTGCGGAATATTTGAAAAAATGCGACCCCAACCAAACCCCCCCCCCCCCCCCCCCCCCATGCGCAGACTTTGGCTGATTATGCATTGAATTCAGCGATCGCATAATCGTGTTTTTCTGGAGGGACTGGTTAACTTCAAATTCAAGGACTTAATGTGGGGACACATTAGTTGTGTTCAACAACAAACGTTGAGGTTCCATCGTAGTAGTTTCGTGCGCTCGTGATCGTCATGGCAACGTACAACACAAAGTACCTCACGCGGGAAACGTAAGGGCCGTTACATAGTCAAGGCATCGGTACGCATTCGCGTCCGCAAGGCAACGCATCGCTGCGGCCGCCATTATGCGTCGCCAAATGTCATGTGTTGTCCTAGTTTTTGATACGCGACGCACCGATGCACGCAATTCTATGGGCCGTTACATAGTCAACGCGAGCAAGCGACGCGAGCTACACGCTCCTTTTAATAGTACGCAAGCGTCACGGGTGATGCGTGAAATGCAATACACCGATCACGCAACAGGGGGTAGTAGAGTCTAGAGTCGGGTCACGTGATAATCCGATCAAAAGAGATAGGCGCAAGGGGGTAATCCATCGACCGGAAGTTGAAGCCGGCCGGGTGCCGCCATGTTGTAGCAGAACTTCACTTGCGTTAGCATTTCCATTGACTCCCATTCATTTTTGCGTCACTTTGACAGCGAATAACTTTACATCTGAGGCGTTTAAAGACTCCATTTGTCCATTATTTATTTCTAAAGAAACACGACAATGTATAAAGGGCTCCATTACCTTCTATGTTACACTATGGCCCCGTAGAAACAGATTTAGTAAAAATAGGCTAACGATTGCGTCATAACCACTCGACTCTCTGTCGCGCTGTACAGAAGTTACCGTACAGACAGGAGGAGAAGCTCGCAAGCAATCGGTGGGACGTCCAGTCAAGGGAGAAGCCCATAGATAATGAGTCCATAAAAGCAACGGAATACATACTCCTGCTCACTCACGATAAAGGACTCTTTGCTCAAGTTCCCCGTCTCTGCAAGATTAACGTTGGCAGTTTTCACGCACAGCTACTAGAAGATTCACGTCTGTCAGACAGGTTGCTCACGTCATCAAGCTTAGTTTGAGTCGGTCTGAGTCTGCGCGTCAGGAACGGAAGTTCTCAAAAATCGCTAAAAGTGGGCTTCAACTGTCTCAACTGAGTTCCAATGAGATCGCTCTGTCCATTTCTTTTACTGTCTATGGATAGGCGGTGGTACTTTTGCTCTTCGCCCGCCATTGTATTCAAATCTTCTTCTTCTGTAAACATAATAATATACCTTTTTATGTACATTACTTGCAATGTCGCCCCCACCGACAACGCATAGTATTGCGTGCATCGGCGCGTCGCGTATCAAAAACTAGGATGACACATTTGGCTACGCATCGACGCATAATGGCGGCCGAAGCGTAGCGATGTGTAGCCTTGCGCACGCATATGCGTACCGATGCGTTGACTATGTAAGGGCCCTATGCGTTGTCGGTGGGGGCGACATTGCAAGTATTGTACATTAATTCAAGTATTTACAGAAGAAGGTTTGAATACAATGGCAGGTGAAAATGAGCTTATACGTATACATCCACATTTATATGACAGTTCATCGCAATTACACTCCAATAAAATAGCAATAAATAGTATATTTCAAGGACCCATGTATATTCTCTTTCAATAATACAAGCACCTTTTCATAAATATGGCTGTTAAATATGGCACTTTGAGCACCTTGTATGAATCCTGCAGGGTAACTAGTATCTGACACAACAGATGTTTTATAGATGACTGCAAGTTTGGCGACTCAAATCATAAAACCATAACAATTCATGCACTTTTAAAAATAAAGGGGATTTCCGCTTTAACTATTTTTGACATAATTTGTGTTTCCCAAAATAACCTTTCAGTGATCAGTTCTTAAAAGAGCCTTTTTTTTAGTGTGAGGATTTAAAAAAAAAAAAATCTAAAGGACCTTTTTCCACTATTTAGGATCTTAAAGGTTCTTCATGGAACCATTAATGACAATAAAGCACGTTTATTATTATTAAGAGTGTATTAAATATCACTGAGAGAGCAAAGGTTTGATGTTTAATGTCTGACACATTGAAGTGAAAGTACAAGCTGATGTTTGAGCTTCATGATCTCCTCATAAAGTTAAACTGGTTTAAATACAGTAAACTAGGCGACCCATGAAGCAAGAGTGCGTTGGTCAGCTTCACCGAGCTTCAGTCATCTGTGTCCTCGCTGAAGCTGACCTTTGACCTTAAAAACTGGAAAGAAAGAAAACTGCAGAAACTAATGAATCTCTATTGTTTTGTATGAGGGAATGTTTATTGGATGGATTTGCCTTCCTGTCTTCCCACATCTTTTCCACACAAACTTGCATGCTTTTGTAAAATCATAATTCTGACATAAATAGTATGACATACAATTCCAAACTTATAGAATCATTTCAACTTTATCTAATAATTTCGACTTTTTATCTAATGATTATGACTTGGTGTGTCATAATTCCAGCTTTTTAACCTCATAATTATGTCATAGTCATAATTAGTATGTCATAATTTTAACTTTATATCGTAATTTTTACTTTTTATATCATTATGATGACTAATTAATGTAAAATTAATTATATCATGGCATAATATCATCATTTTGACTTCATGTTTAGTTTATTTTTTTATTAGTTTATTAGTTTATTCATATCATAATTCTCCTGATTATGACTTATGTATTAAATTAGTATGTCATCATTTTGACATTTAATGATACAAATTAATGTAAAATTATATCATGACACACTTAATGTCATAATTTTTACTTGGTTTGTCATAATTTCGACTTTTTTATCATAGTTTACGTGCAATTTATTATGATTATGACTTAATTAGTATGTCATCCTTAGTATGTCATCCTTTTAACTTTATATCGTATTTCTCCTGATTATGACTTATGTTAGCTATATTAAATTAGTATGTCATCATTTTGACTTTTAATTATATAAAATAATGTAAAATTATATCATGACAATTAATGTCATCATTTGTACTTGGTATGTCATAATTTCGACTTTTTTGTCATAGTTTTCGTGCACTATGATTATGAATTAATTAGTATGCCATCCTCTTAACTTTATATCATAATTTTGACATAATTATGAAAAATAATGACTTGTCAGTCTTGTTTTATCATAATTATGTCTTAGTGTGTCATAATTTCGGCTTTTTGAGCGACAAGTAAGATTTACCATGGCTGGTTTTCATATGTGGTGCAAATATAGACTCCCGTACAAACTGTTCTGAATGTTTATTTTGATATTTTCCATGAAACGTTAGTTCTCCTGGAAGGAAACTCCCAGCAGAGACAAAAGGAAAACCAGGATGCAACTGTTCAGATCTAGACAAAAGACTGAACTTCAGAGCGAGTGTTTATGACCCCAAAGCAAGCAGTTCTCGCCAGTCATATTCTGCCATGTTATGATTATTATCATCACCTATGTGTCCGGACTCACCTGTGATTTTCCCCCCCGTGTCTCCGTGTCCTCTTCGGTGCTGCAGTTGGAAATAACCGTTGGATTTGTCCGTAACCCAAAGCTTGAGCGCGTTTTTCAGCACAACTTCTTCAGGAGTGATCCACATCCTCACACACACACACGGCTTGTGTTGTTGTTGTTTCTAGTACACACTCGCAGGCTCATATTCCGACCATAACTGCAGTTCCTCTTTTAGGCGAATGTTTATTTCCGCTTTTTTCCAGCCTTTCCTGCTCGCGGTTCCGGCGAGGGAAGTTTCATTTCACGTATGTCCTCCTTCACGTATAAAGATGTCACGAAAAGCTGATCGGTGTGCAGACTGACAGGAATTCTCGACGCTTTTTTATTGTATTAACTGATAATTAACTTTAATTTCACAAACATACTGTCACTATTACCTGACAGACTTCAGTGAGAATCAAAGCGCGGCTCCAATCAGGAAAACTCTTTGCCTGTCAATCATTTGCGCGCTCGCGTTTGCTGACCTGTATCTGAGGGCGGGGCTTTAGAGAAAGGGGCGGGGCGATAACTGGACTCTTTTCACACAGACTGATGCACAGTCTATGGTTTTAGAGCCGTTCAGAGCCACATAGAAGGACATCCACATCATCTCTGGCTCTAATTTTAACCAAGTGGCAACCTGTCTGTCTCTCTTTTAAATCCAACACGGAAGTGACTTAAACTGCAACTCATCGACTGGCCGCTAGAGACCGGCTGCAAAAGAGAGTTTACAGCAGGAAAAAAATGTGTTTACAGCCTGCTGCAAAAAGTGGTTTTGGTCTATATAGCTATTTTTTCCCTTCATGACAACTGTGAGAGGGGTGAATTTGAATGTATAATGTTTCAATTATATTAAGATTTAAGTTGTGCATAATTAAGGGCGTGGTCACTTGAGTGACATGTGGATTGTCACTCATGTCACTACTAGCGTTTTTCTGCTGTTTGTTAGCGTCACGTCACCTCAGCTAATCCGCCTCTTTGCCCATTTTCGGTTATCCGGTCGGTGTGGTGAAGTATTGGGCCCCACTGAAGTGTTGAGTCCCACTGAAGTGTTGAGTCCCAGCTAAGGACCAGCAATCCGATTGGTTCAAAGCTACCACATTACGCTAAAACAGCTCACGTTAGCTAAGAGTTATCGCGAGAACATATTTAGATCAGGCATACTAATGGGGTCCTTAGCTAGGACTCAACACTTCAGTGGGACCCAACACTTCACCACACCGGGAGGCGATATTTTTTTTCCCAGGATGGTAGGGGAAGACTCATGAATATTCATTAGGGAAGTCATTCCTGATTGGTCTGATGACCTACCCCTAACCCCACCCCTAAACCTAACCGTCACTGGGGGTCTGATGACCTACCCCTAACCCCGCCCCTAAGCCTACCCGTCACTGGGGTTAAGACCAATCAGGGATGACTTCCCTAATGAATATTCATGAGTCTTCCCCTACCATCCTGGGGAAAAAAATATCGCCACCGGGAGTGACGCGCTGCCAAGATGGCGACAGCCGGCTCCGCCCACTTTGGGCTTCAAAAATGCTCATCAGAAACCAATGGGTGACGTGACGTCACGGACACTACATCCATATTTTTTTTAACAGTCTATGGTTTTAATGGTCGTTTTTTATATTTTCATAAAAAAAATGTATTTACATATATAACACTATACTTTGTATTAAATCACCTTTGCATCAAATTACATAAAAAAAGTAAACGCTGCTGTGAGCATTTTACCGGCTGTGGTGGAAGTGACGGTAAAGTTGACATCTTTCTCTCTTCCGTTATCAATCTCACTCTATTTTTTTCCTCATTTTGAAAGTTGTGTTTCCTCGCTATAGAAGTTTACCCAACTATGACGACTTCCGCTTCCCGGGAATGTGAAAAGGGTCAATTCAGTAGCCGATCAACAGCCGCTCCAGTTTACAAAACTCTCTGCCTGTCAATCATTTGCGCGCTTGGGTTTGCTGACCGGTATTTGAGGGCGGGGCTTTAGACAGAGGGGGCGGGGCCTGCACGGGATGAGCGGTCTAATTCAGTGACCGATTAAGCACTTTTAATTATTTATTTCAGTATATTTTTTATTAATAATTGTACTATATTTAGTGCTGGGCAACGATTAAACGCGATTAATCACATCCAAAATAAAAATTTGTGTTTACATAATATATGTGTGTGTACTGTGTATAATTATTTTGTAGCCTATATATTAATACACACACGCATGTATATAAGGGAAATATTTTTATTTATATATAATATAAATTATGTAAATATATAGGCCTATACAGTATATACATAATACTTAAATATATACATGTATATGTGTGTATAAAATAATTATACACAGAACACACACATATATATTGATTAACCGCGATTAATCATTGCCTAGCACTAATTACATTATTATCATTTTTATATGCAATGAACAGATGGAAACGAGAGAAGTGTCCATTTATTTTATGATTCTATTTATACCAAATTATTTTGGTGTGAATTAAGATTGTTGTTAAAAAAGAATTTAAATTGTGGTATGTTATATATCTACTTATATAATAACAAAACATAACAACAAACATTACAAAATACCTTAAATGAGTTTCACAAAAACCCACTTTTGCTAATTTTATAAATAGAAATATATCACTACCTAAAATTTGATTATGATTAATGTTTTTTATGGTTGCCTTTGATTATGAGTTCATTCAAAAAAATCTAAATTGTTTGGATATATTGCTTCATTTTGTTTTCTGAAACAATACAGGCTTTTGGTTAATATGCTTTCAGTGAACAAGAATTTTGGCAGATGACTGTAAAATCTCAATCTCTTTGGATGAACTCAGGATGAACTAAAGTTTACAAACTGAAAGATTACAAATTAAAAGCATGAACAAGGAAAACATACCGGTATGCCTATCTCGAAGATACAATAGCAATAGCATAAAAACAAAGTAGAGTAAACACATGGATTTGCGTACAAAAATAGAAGAGAAGCACCGTTAAATCACATCTTTATAAACGTTCATAAAGGATCAAAAACCAGGTACTTGTGTATAAATCTGGGGGATAAAATTAGCTACAACAGGATTTTCATAATAAAAGTACCTATTCGATCAAATGAGTGGTTTACTTCAGTAGGACTAAAATAAAGGAACTTAAATCAGCCCAAAACTGATTTATTACTGATTTATCTTTTAAAAATTACAATTCTTACAAAACTGTTATACACAATCAAAAAAGTAAATGCAAGTCTGTCACGCCTGTCACGTGGTTTGATTGACAGCGCTATCTGGACATTAAATGAGGTGCACTACAACGCCATATATGGGCATTCAGAAACTAGGCGGAAAACGGTGCAACCCTGATTATCGTCCTACACACTTCTGTTCCGCTCGAGTTTAAATGTGCGCATTAATCGTCTTGTGCAAAAATATTTTAAAATATATTTGTTATTGTGACGCTTAAGTATCTATTTTGATTTAGCAGACAGGTTTTCTTTATAAAACTGATGAAAAGGAGGATGTTTTCTATATTTTATGTTACTGATGCAGCTTGTGTTCGGCCGGAAGAGAATGAGGAGCGCTCCTTCTGTTTCCGGCGCTGTGAGAGCAGAGGAGTGATTCACACAGCACAGAGATGCAGGTTTGTGTGATTAAAAACCAAATATGTTGTTTATTTCACGTTATATTGGACTTGATATGATCGTTGATTTATTGATGGTTTGGAGCAGTTTCTGGAGATGCTGGTTATGATGATGACGATAGTTTAGTAAAGATCTATTGACTAGTAACTGTTTTAATCTAACTTAACGTTAACTTACTCCTATAAACTGAGAAAAAAGTGATCTGTATATTTACATTGTGTATATGTTATTCATGGGTTGGTATTACACTGTAAAAAAATATTTGTAAAAGTGTGTAAACAAAAAAACGAGTAGGTTTTATAAGAAAATGCTGTGTCGTTTGTTATACATTCAATAATTTCACGTTTAATTCAGTTTGTTACTTGCCTTTACTAATAACTGTTCGTGACATTTACTAGCAATTTCAGTGAAAATGATCTAAAATAAAAATAAAATTCGCTGTGATATTAACGAATACAGGGAATATCAAGGAATATTATAAATGTATATGTAATTTCCAGGCCTGAAAAGGCGATATAAATTAGTAAAATAATGAAAATCATGGATATTTTTGTAAGGAATATAAATGTTTGTAGTTTTGCTCTGCGCTAACATATTATTTCATCCATTATTAGTAGACTAAAACTTGAGTGCAGGGTTATTACACTTAACTAAAACCATTAAAAAAACTATTTTGTTAAGTGAAATTATATATATATATATATATATATATATATATATATATATATATATATATAATAAAATAAAAATAAAGCAACATTTGATTTTCGTCTATAAAATAACAAACTAAATCTGAAATAAAAATTAATAAAAACTATATAGACAGTTAAATAATAAAATAATTAAAATGACAAAAACAACTAAATGGTTGAAATGGAAAAAATAAAAATAATTAAAAGTATTAAAAACTAATGTGATATAAAATAACACTGAGGGTTTTATTGGAGACACAGATTAGTGTAATTATTTAAATGCCTTATTGATTGAAAACCAGTTATTAATATGATACCTGAAGTCTTATAAACTGCCCTGTGAACTCTGGAACTGAAGTTGTAATTTTTCCTGCGTATGGTCGATAACACCACGTCTCTGAATGTGTGTTATTGTGAACGCAGGACCCGAACGCAGACACCGAGTGGAATGACATCCTCCGGAGGAAAGGTATTCTGCCTCCTAAAGAAACACCGAAGGAGGAGGAGGAGGACGAGCAGCTTCATCAGCCTCAGTCTGTTGGTAAGAGGAGTTTTTACACTGCTAAATATAGCTTAAATATTGTTTTTGTTCCTCCTCGTCATCAGATAACCTCTTTTTTTTATCCTGAAGCCTGTGAAACAGTAAATAAGTGTAATATAATGACTGTTTATACACATGGGATTGTGCAATATAGTTATTTTCTATTTCTTGCTGCTTTGTTGAGTTGTATGTTGTGTCTTAGTGTTTTGTATTGTGTGTGTGTGTGTTCATTTTACCACAAGGAGTTGCACTTAAGAATTTTGTTGTACAGCTAAGTGCATTCAATTCAATATGTGAGCTCATATTCTGTTCTTTTGCAGTGAAGACTTATGAGAGCATGACTCTAGAGGAGCTGGAGGAAAATGAAGATGAGTTTAGTGATGAGGATGAACTCGCCATGGAGATGTACAGGTACATATTGAAGAAATCCACCATTATGCATGTTGTAGTCCTCCTATGGCAGTGGTTTTTGTCACTAACAGTGAGTGACAAAAAAAGAACAGTGTTTTTGCGCAGCAATTCATTGATATTCAAACCTCCACTCTGCAGTATTAAAGAGCATATTGCAGGTAAAAAAAAAAATCTAAATTAATATATAACCTTGTATGAAAATACCATATGAAAAGGTAATGCAGGATTTAAAATGTTTTAAAACGACATAAGGGCACTAATTTATTAGATAAAGTGAGCGTTTCTTGGACTGCTCGTAAAAACGGCTTTTTTTTTCAACATCGCGTCATTTTACGTCACGCTAGGGAGCCTCAGCCTCGCCTCAGTGCAGAGCAGGCTGGTGTTCAGTGAGAGCGGCCGTGAGTCAGTGTGTTTTTCGGTAGTTTTTGTATTTCAATCTATCATCGTCATGGTAAATTATTGTGTTTGTGGAGGTTGCAAAAACTCCGGCCTGTCAGGACATCGAGTCCACAGGTTTCCATAACAAGAAAAAGGACGGTGCTGTCTATCTTTCGTGCCTGGTGCGGTTTGTGCAGCTGAAGAGGCGGGATTTCTCTTCCGCATCGGCTTCGAGAAACACGGTCGTGTGTAGCGTTCACTTCAGATCGTGTGTAGCGTTCACTTCAGATCGTGTGTAGCGTTCACTTCAGATCGTGTGTAGCGTTCACTTCAGATCGTGTGTAGCGTTCACTTCAGATCGGAGGATTATCATCCCGGCGATATGATGGAGTTCAACATGGGATGCCGAAGCAAGAATATTGATCGTCTAATACTGTACCAATGGCATCAAATAGTGTGATATAGGTAGTCATGCCCTAAATAGAGGCAACTTGTAATTGAAAAACAAAATTACTAGGTTGATTAAATATTCAAATCTTTAATTTTCTGTTTATGTTATAACCCAGATGAAAAATATGTTTTAAAAATGTACTTGAGTATGTTTTTAGTAACTTACAATAGAAATATACTCAAGTATAGTTTTTATACATTTAATAGTATACATCTACCCTAAACATACTAATGTCTGCTGGCCTGATATACGATGGTAATAATCTGTACAATATTGTGAGCACAGTGTATATCGTTAGCGAACGTGTATCTATAAGCACGTCTCTCACCAAGACACCTGTCCTGTTCTCCACTGGTTCTCCTCACAGTACAACTCATGGTGTCTCTGACCGTTCTATGTCTGACATTAGTCCTGGCCTGTCCTGCTCTCTTGGCATCATAGCAGGCTCATAACTGTATGGCTGTAGTCCGTCATATGAGTGAGTATTTCCTCAGCGTCCGAAATGTCATTGCGATCCATTGTTTTCCTGTTGTTTGAATCGACCGCTCTCCCGCCCGTTACGTCACGCCCGCCACACCCATTTTCAGACGCGGAAGTAAAATTTTCTCACAAAAACGACTCCAGAAGCTTCTGTAGCGTATTTATAAGAATATTTTAAAGAAAATCTAGTTCCTACATTATTTTTCTATATATTGACTCGTTGGGTCCTCTAACCTGCAATATGCCCTTTAAAGGGATACTCCACCCAAAAATTAAAATTCTGTCAATCGTTCTTCAAAATATCTTCCTTTGTGTTCAGAAGAAGAAAGAAACTCATACAGGTTTGCAACAACTTGAGGGTGAGTAAATGATGACAGAATTTTTATTTTTTGGTGGAGTATCCCTTTAAATATCTGAAATTTACATGAATAATAAAAGCCGCCAGTAGGTGGCAGCGAGTCACTGGCAATGAGTGAGTCATTTAGATTCAACCGATTCATTTAAACGGTTGATTCCATAGATATCCATAATAAAGGCTAGATGTCTCGTCCGCGCTGCTGGCCAATGGAGGTCGACGTCCGCACTGGCGGCCATCTTGCCACAGTCAGCTCGCTCACTCATAACATTGTGTTTTAATGGTGCATGTACTTTTTAAATAACCATAACTTGCTCAATTTTCTACCGATTTTCAAACGGTTTGGTTTGTTATAAACGTCAGAGATGTAGTTATGACACCGCACACGTATGAATAATAAGTGTATCAATAAATAATCATCCAGAATTATAGCCACGTTAATAACGTTTGTAAGAAACCAAACCGTTTGTAAATCCGTCAAGATTTCAACGAGATGAGAGTATTTGTGTTCGTGCTGATCACTCATCTCACATCAGGCACCACAGAGCCCGCCAGAAAGCTTGCCTGTGACAAGATGGCCGCCAGTGATGACGATAGAGACTCCGCCGTAAGATATCTAGCCTTTATTATGGATATCTATGGTTGATTCACTCATGAACAAAGCATTTGACTGACTGAATGATTGAATGACTCACTCATTAAGGCAATCGATTCGTTCATTCAGTAATGTCGTTCAAACAGTCCTGCGTCTTTGTTTGGAACAATTTTCGTTGGCGAAATAGAGCAAAAACCGGCAATATTGTCTCTAAAATGTAAGTCACTTAATATTAACTTCTTGTTTATTGAAAATCAATATCACATTTGTAATCGTGCTGATATTTGGAGGAAAAGCAGCTCTCCATGTGATATTGATTAATCATAAATCTCCCATTAATAGAATGTTTAGCTCTGAAAATAAAACATTTGTTTACTGATTGTAACATGGCCTCTTTGTTCTTGAACATGTTTATCCATCTATAGTCGCCTTTTCTCTGCAAAGATGGTGTTGCATTATGCTGATTGTCCCAGGTTTCACACTGATAGTGATGCTAGATTTCATTAGCTATGTTTCCATCCAAAGTTGCGAATTTAACTTATGAGAAAAATTAAAACATTTGTGATTAAAGCACCGTTTCCATCCAGTGAGCCGAAGAACAAAATCGTCATATCCTGATAAACTGGTACTAAATATCACTTAGAAAAATGGAAGTTTTGACACGACAGACTTTGTTCAGGCATTTCGGAATAAACAAAACTGCATTTTTAGATGCTATGCAACAAGATCGGTCCGCTCGCTGGTTAGTCCAGTTATAACGTCCCATCTCAAAGTCACGTCTTACTTGATGCGCATTGAGGGATTTTTTCGGTAAATGTGTTTCCATCGTAGTTAATGCACATGTTTTCTTTTCGGATAAAAAGTCTAACAGACTCAATTGAGTGCAATAAGCATTTTTAGAATTTCCATCCATCCAGCTTTTATTTTATTTTTATGCGATATCCCAAAATGGACATAAAAATAAGTGTAATATTTACACCTAAAACCTGAACTATTGCACTGCTGCTGCACAAACACTGTTCTATTCAAGTAATGAGAGTTTATAATTGTGTGTTACTAATTGTGTACGGTTTCTCTCTGACAGACAGAAGAGGCTTGCCGAGTGGAAAGCGAACCAGATAAAGAACGCGTTTGGGGAGTTGAATGAGATCTCGGGTCAGGATTACGTGAAGGAAGTGAACGAAGCTGGAGCCGGAATCTGGGTGGTGCTTCACCTCTACAAACCGGGGTGATTTACACATCGACCTCTGCACTCAAATCACTTTGAACACAGTCATCTATATTAGGGCTGTCACTTTACGTTCAGAAATCGATTGCACAATCGATCGGACCAACCAACACAAGTTTCGAAAATGAAAATAGGGAATCGATTTTAACAGCCTTTTTTTTTTTTTTTTTTTTACCAAAAATGTGTTTTAGGTGGACAGATCAATACAGGACACAGAACATGTGGGATGTTGGAAAATAACAATGTCTTTTCTGTTCACCAAATGCTTTTTAATATTCGCTATTACTTCAATGCAAGTGAACAAGCGCGCCGTTATGTGTTGCGTAGTGACGTGTGTGTTCAAGTAAGCCAGATATGAGCAGATTCTACAATACGCTGTATTTAATATATCATGAGGATCACGAGTTGAGGATTTGCACTAAAGCCGCGCAGATTTGTCTTACACGAACTTCCCAGCAAAGTGAGTAAACACAGAAACGCCAGATTGGTTTCGTGATTTGACAGCGTTTCCCGCCAAAGTTTATTTTTAATGAGGGCGTTAATCTCAATCCCTGAATGTTGCGCTCCTGTTTGTCATTGTGCTGAAACTTCACGCCAATAAATCATCAGGAATATTGCTGACTTGTGCGTCTCAAGCGCCCTCTTTACGCTCGTCCTAATGCCTGTTAGGTGTCCGTGGATTTGCCTACATTTGGTGTTGAAAATGGAAACGTCTTTAGGCCTGTTCACACCGGGACGAATTTCGCGCGCGATATTCGGCGACGTTTAACCCCTCGTGACTAAACAAAGGGCGCCAGTGTGAGTGTGCACACCGACGCGAAAAACGCCACGCATAAAAGCGTCATTTTTTTAAAAACGCCTCGGGTTAGTTTTTTGGGTTTGACGCGCCGCGTCAAAAAGTATCCGACCAATGAGATTGGCGCTTTTGCTCACGTCTCTGGAGCTCCTGAAGTTACAGTAAAACACAACGTGGGGGCGCTCAAACACAAAACGGTCTTGCTGAGCACACATACGTAACGGCGAAGAAGATGCGCCAAGTAGCGTCTACACCAGTGTTTCCCAACCCTGTTCCTGGAGGCACACCAACACTACACATTTTCCAACTCTTACTAATCGATCACACCTGAATCAACTCATCAGCTCGTTAGTAGAGACTCCAAGACCAGAAATATATAGGTCAGAAAAGGGAGACATCCAAAATGTGCACTGTGTGTCTCAAGGAGCAGGGGTTGGGAAACACTGGTCTACACCATAGATATCCATAATAAAGGCTAGATGTCTCGTCCGCGCTGCTGGCCAAATATGGCCTTTATTATGGATATCTATGGTCTACACTGCCGAAAATCGCTTGGGTGTGAACACAAAAACCGCGTTGAAAAACGCTGACGAATAACGCGCGCCGATTTCGTCCCGGTGTGTACGGGGCTTTAGACATGGAAAATCGATTTTACAATTGATTCAATGAACACTTATGTCTCAAAAATGGAACAGAATTTTTTCACAAAAGTGACAGCCCTAATTTATATATATATATATTATAATTTATAATGCCAAACGTTGTAGTAAAGATGCATTGGATTTTAAGTTCCCATGCACTGTTTCTTATGTATCCTTCTCTTCTTATTCTTAAAGGGGCTGTATGTAAGAATTAGGGGTGGAACGGTACACAGAAGTCACGGTTCGGTTCATACCTCGGTTCAGACATCACGGTTCGGTACGATTTCGGTACAATGGAGGGAAAAGCAAAACAAAAATGCAGAAGGCATTCTATTTTTTAAATAAGTTTTATTAATAAAGGCATAGAACCAGTTTATTTGTAGTGCACTGACAATAGTTTTATATAATTAGTTTATTAATTAAATTAATAAAAAGACAAAAAGACCTTGCGATGTTTGGTAATTGTACCTGAATTAATTTAAAATTAATTTGCTATATTTCAGATCAATATATTTGTTTTCCTTAATTTTAATTAACATTATTAATTAACAATGTAACATTATTCTCATCTGAATTATAAATAATTGATTTCTGTATAAAATAATACTACCATTAAAAACGCATTCGATTTTCTTTTTTAATCAATGTAGAATGTGTAAGATTAGCGCCCCGAGGACGAGAAATGAAAACCAATGCGATGAATGTCCAAAAGATGGGACCCACAGACTGTTTTGAAATGGAGTTGGATAAATATGTTTTGCTTTTAAAACAGTGTGTGTGTGTGTGTGTGTGAGAGAGATTTTGGTTGTGTGACAGTTGTAGGTTACAGTTTGACAAGAGTTTACAGTGTGACAAAAGCACAATGTTGTGTTTTATTGCGAGTGTACACAAATTTAAGTAAACACTTTGCAGGTTTAATGATCTGTATGAACAAAATGACGGAGTAACTATGTTTTTTATGTTTCCACTGTTCGATCGCGGCCGCGCCTCTCTCTCACACACACACACACACAAACACACACACTCCAGCATTGCAATCTTGACATCGCAGCCTGTTCATTATGTGGTCACACCAAACGCGAATAGAGCGTTAAATTCGCGTCTATCGCGTCTAGTTCGACGCTAGTCCAAAGCGAATAGGACGCGCGTATAAAGCCAACGTTTGAAGTGAACGCGCGTTCAGAGCTAAGCCGATGGTACAGATTATGTTTCCCTAAAGAACCCGCGTATCTAACAGTAGTTCCGCATTACATTAATTAATTTTCACGCGAGTTTTATTTATTTTTATACCGTGTATTCTCTGTGTAAATTCGTGCACCGAACCGTGACGCCCGTACCGTTTCGGTTCGGTACGAATACATGTACCGTTCCACCCCTAGTAAGAATGTTCATGCATTAATCGCTCTTTTATTGGCGATGCGTGAACAACTTGTATAAAACAAGACCTTCCTCGACGTGCTAGGTTGTCTATATAAGCATGTAGACTGATGTTTACGTGACGGACTCGGGACGTTTTTGCTGCTAAAATCCAAGGATGTGACGTTTCCTCTCTCGCTCCTAAAAGAGTCTCTCTTCTGTTCAGTGACACATGAAACTAATGCAGGATAATGCAGAAAGAGCCATTCTGTGCTGTAATGTCACGATTCACTCACACTATATAGTCTCAAATATACTTCATAATCAAACTATCATAAGTGTAATTTTAATGACTAAACATCCACATCTGTATGATCAGATGCTTTCTGAACGTCTGTTTTCTCACCGCTGGCATTTTCATCATGTGTTTATTTTGTTATTGAGAGGAAAGCACTGCACATATTTACATATTCATCTAAATTAGGGCTGTCAGTTAAACGCAATTTTTTTTATCGTGCGTTTGGCCTAGCAAACTTTGTAGTTTTTTTTTTACATGCTTTTGCAACAGGACGCTGCATGCGCGGTGCGGCGCTATGAAACCCATTCATGTCAATGGCTTGCGCCGCGCGAGGATGTTTTGTTGCTTCGTCGACCAAAGCGCAAGCGGATCTAACGTTAGCTAGACCGGAAACAACACAACAGGCACGCCACACACACTCGTTTGGGCTTGCGAGCCGGCCAAATAGTTGGTTAACGTTACATTTGAGTGGGTGACGAGCGCGAGACGCCGAAATGGAGGCCAATAAGATTCTGAATGGAAAGTTTACTTTTAAAAAGTTGCCAAATGGTTCCATTGACGAGACCAAAGTGATCTGTGTGTTTTGTCGTTGTGAACTGAGCTATCATCATCATCGCAGCACGTCCAGTCTGAAATACCACTTGATGATGGCCAAGCACACACACACACACACACACACACAGCTGATGCGAATTCTCCGCCCCCTCGTCAATATCAGGACCTCGTCAGTATTTCTTTCACCCTTTTATAGATGGACAGTGTTACATTGTGTGAGAGATTATTTGCTCCAAGTGAGAATGTTAGTGTGAAATTGAACACAGTATATGTAATGTTGTTTTCAATAAAAAACATTTGCACAAAGCAAGCCGATCCACTTTTCCATGTTGATAAGAGCATTAAAATGAGAAAAAATAATGGGACAAAAAGAAATCAAGAGACATTTAGAATAGATAAAAATGTGCGATTAATCTCGTGTTAATAACTATGACATTAATGCGATTAATCTCGATTACATATTTTAATCGTTTGACAGCACTAATCTAAACGTGGACGGCGTCTGGATGTTTGTTAACAGTAAAGGAATGTCCAACTTCTTTTTCTTTACGTCTAAATACCTTCGCCGTGAGTATATCATTAGTATTCTTGCACATATAAGTTGCTGCTGTTAATTAACAGCCATTGGTGTTGCTAATAATAACAAGGGTTTCTGAATTCTACATGCAGCCCCTTTAAGTGATTTCGTGCACTATATAAATGAAAGTGTCATACTCATACAGTGCCTTGACTAATAAATGTGGTTATCCCGCAGGATCCCGTTGTGTACGCTGATAAACCAGCATCTGGCACATCTGGCACACAAGTTTCCTCAAACCAAGTTCATCAAATCTATTTCCACCACCTGCATTCCCAACTACCCCGACCGCAACCTGCCCACGCTGTTCATCTACTACGAGGGCGAGATGAAGGCCCAGTTCATCGGCCCGCTGGTTTTCGGAGGCATGAACCTGAAGTGTGACGGTGAGAGGGATTTTCTTGCTTATAAAGGAGTGAAACTAACACACAAACACACACTCATGAACACACATGCTATTTATTGATTGTAATCATAATTATTTTTTAAAAATTGAAATACTGTTGATTGCCTTTAACTGCCGTTTGCCATTGCTGCTGATACGGCGTTAAATCATATATAAATAAATGTTGATCACATAAAATCAATTGACTGTCTTTTTGGAGTACAAACAATGAGTCTCATTCATGAAACATTCGTAAATATACGAGAGTGATTTGCGCATAAAGAGACCTTCCCGAAAACTCTTCTCCTGATTCACAAACACTTCGTAAACGTCAGATGTGAGAGTGAAGTGTGTGTGTTAATGAATTCCAATCAGTTGTAAATGGGATGCGCGTGCACGCTCATTCTCAATTACCATAAATCCCGCCCATTAAATCAGACTGACAACTATATATGGGCATCATATTATGACACCAAACGAAGGATTTCAACATGTCTTCTCAAAAGCGAATGAAAAAGAAAAATTTCTCAGATGCAGAAATCGAAGTTTTATTATCAGAAGTTCATTCAAAACACCACTTTTTATTTTCAAGCGTACATAGTGGCGTATCAGGTCCTAAAGAAAAGGGAGTTTGGCAGCATTACAGATGCAGTTAATGGAGTTTCATCTGTTAATCAAACAGTCCCAGAAGTAAAAAGACAAACCGTATGTAATTACTATATATAATATTTTTTCAAAATGCTGTGTAAATATGTACCCGATTAAGGGGAATTAAAATGCAGCCTTAGTTATTAATGAGCAAAACGTTCGGGTGTTAAACTCACTATTTACGCGTGGCTGGAGCAGGTGTAGATTTCTATTGGTACCAACTAACATTTGGAAAATACCAACATTTTAATGAATCCGAAAATTTACGCCAGAACCACTTTACACACGATTCACACACATTCGTTCTGCTCGTGTTTCATGAATGAGACCCAATAGCTTTTTTCTAATATCCTAACATTCATTAATTTTGCAGAATCTAAATGAATACATTTTCATTCAGCTATATTATTTATTTAATATAAATAAATTGGTATTTATATGTTGTTATAAAAAAAAAAAATATATATATATATATATATATATATACACTACCGTTCAAAAGTTTGGGGTCAGTGAGAATTTTATTTTTATTTTTTGGAGGAAAGAAATCAATACTTTTATTTATCAAGGAATAATTAATTTGATCGAAAGTGACAGTAAAGACATTTATAATGTTACAAAAGATTCTAACCCTAACCCTATTCATCAAAGAATCCAAAAAAAAAAAAAAAAACTGTACAACTGACAGACCAACAACTGTTTCAACATTGATAATAATAATAAATGTTTCTTGAGCATCAAATCCTCATATTATCCTGATTTGTGAAGGATCATTTGACACTGAAGACACTGACACTGGTGATGCTGAAAATTCAGCTTTGATCACAGGAATAAATTACACTTTACTATATATTCACACAGAAAACAGCTGATTTACACTGGAATTTATTTAATACTATAACTGATTTTTGTTGTATTTTTAATCAAATAAGCGCAGCCATGGTTAGCAGAAGAGAATTCTTTTAAAAGTATTTAAAATCGTACCGACCCCAAACTTTTGAACAGTACTGTATATATATATATATATATATATATATATATATATATATATATTTATATATATATATATATATATATATAAAACACATTTAATTATAAGTGAATATTTAGCATGCCAATTAGTTATTTATTCTATAGGAATTTTGTTATACATGTTGTCATTAAATATAATTTAATGAATTATGTATAAGTATAAATCTTTTCCATACATGACAGTTAATACTGACTATCCAGCACCAAAAATGTATAATAAAAAGTATCTTTTTTGTATCTGAGTAAAATTGGGGGTGATGAAAAATCTGATATTTTGCCAGATGAGTTTATCCATGTATCATCTTTTTATTCTTTTAATTCATTTTATAACTGTATCATATCTCTTTTAATTCCTTTTATAACTGTTAATTTTCCTTGCTTTTATTTTGTGGTTATTTTAATTCCTTTCTAAAGCACTTTGAATTGCCGTAGTGTATGAAATGTGATATGAATAAACTTGCCTTTCCTATTTTTTGTGTTTTCGTTTTCACGTTTCCTTAGCAAAGATGTGTATGTAAACGAGCAGTTGTTGTGTGTGTTCCAGAGCTGGAGTGGCGTTTATCTGAGACCGGTGCTGTGAAGACCGACCTGGAGGAAAACCCCAGAAAACAGATCCAGGATCAGATGATGACGTCCATCCGCTGCTCGGCGCCGATCCGCACAAACGGTGATGAGGACTCAGACGAGGACTGACATTATATCACACACACCAGTCGTTTTGTGGCGACTCCAACACACCAGGAAAGACTGTTTAAGCCGTTGCCGGGCAGACTCTAATATTTGCCATATTAAAAGACATCCACTCTCTGGGACTAGAATGGTGTTTCCCATAGAGAACGACTCCTGCTTATCTTGCACTCGAAAACATTTTTAAACCAGCCATCATTTTCACCAAAAATTTGCATTGTTTTGTTTTATATTGGATTTCTAATAACGCAACCTTTGTCAGTTCAATGCTTGTCACCATTTATTATATAAAAACATATTGATTTGACTTGAGTGCATTTTACTGTGTGTGTGTGTGTGTGTGTGTGTGTGTGTGTGTGTGTGTTAATGGCTAGCGGTGTTTCCGCTCACCCACATCCCTCTAAACCGAGCTTAAGGACAAGCTGTGATATTTAGGGATATGTCATGAACAATTTCAGGCTATTTCCCATCAATTTCCTTTTTGCATTTTGCCATTACCCAGGCTTTCTGATTTGCACACACACACACTGAAAAGCTTCATCTGTGCTTAGTGTTAGCAATAATACGTAAACCGTCTGCAAGCTTGAGGTTACATTTATTAAAAGAGGTTTTAATGAAATCTGGTCGTTTTTTTGGAGCTTGACAGCAACAATAATGCAGCTTTAACACATTATAGGCGTTACGGTGTCAGAGAGAATCCCAGATAAGAACAGAGGACGTCTGAAGAAGGGGAGAAACACGGGGTTAAATCCAACAGTTTACATGGAAATGAATCAAATCTTTAAAACAGTCGCTTATGCTCACTATTGTATCTCATTTCCATCTCTGCACTCTATCGTCCCACAAATAACAGGTAAAACTTTTGTTTTTCTTATGTTTTGCAGTGCTCTGTTACATTTTACAAAATGTATTCAATTTACATGAAGTCTTTTCTCATTCAAACGCCACCAAAACTCAATGTACCTACAGGCCAATTTGCACGTTTACATACAAACCTACAGTTTTTACAATCACTAAAACAACTTTATCAATACTTCAAAACTCTTCACCCACAGTGATCACAACATCAGTCTATGTGAGATAAACTGGGTCATTTCTCACTGCATGTGCACAAAATGCATTCAATGATGACATCTTTCAAATTATTTTGACACAAAAAACACAACAAATTGCACATTTACATACTCTGATCACCAAAATTACATATTTAAACGTTTTTCCTCCTTTCTTCGTGAAACAGCTTGAATGTAACTCGACACCCTTGCCTCATTTAGTATGCGCTGTTCTATGAATATGCAAATGAGCCCCGCCTCCACTCACTCACTCAGAGATCCACTGGTTGACGATCACACGTTGATCTGATTGGTTACAAGGTCGTTTGTGACGTCAGAAACACCAGCGATTTCAAACCGTGTTTTTGAGACTGTCTTTGGTTCACTGCAGTTTTAAGCAGAAAATACTCAGCAATGCTGTCGACTCATTTGAGGCATTAACTTACACATGGTGTGTCTTGTCACCGGCCCACCGGTGGGCCCAAATCCATTACATTTTTAAAACAGTAATATCCTATACTAAACCTAAACTAATCTTGACAAACTATGTATCATTTGAAAGCTTACAATCTCTAGTTTCCATATTTGGTGATTGATTTTCAAAATAAATTACAGAGGAGCCGTAATTTATCAATTTGCAACAAGAATATTTTCATACTCCTAAGGCGTGTTTAGACCTTTATTTTGAAATAGTGATGAACATGAAAAATCATGAAAGAAGGGTAGAAATCTCAGTTTGTTTTCATGCCAAGAGTTCAAAAGATAACATCCATTTAATTATTTTAGTAAAAAAGGTCTGAATTTTTTAAATATAAAGAAAAAAATGATAGATTCACCATTTGTGATGTGGCAGCGAGCTATAACGCACATGCGTGTTCTTTGTATGCGTTTCTTAGAGGTTGAATTCATATCAAAATCTGCCAAACTTCTCATATTACTTCTGAATAGGATGTCTACTTCATAAATTGTATGAAAATTGTGGAAATAATGGTTCAGATCACTCAAAACACATATGGAAATGGAGGCGCCCTTATATGAGCAGTAATGGAGTCTGGTTGTCATCTAGTGAAAAAGTTGGGTACTGCGCCCAAACAAAATCTCACTGAAAGCTCATTTTTTGAGATATCAACCTAAAATTTGAAACACAACTTGTTCAGATTTTTGGCTTTGATTTTTTTTGCAGTTTTAGAGTCGCCCAGGTTTTGAAAATATATATTTTATATAAAATATGAATAATTAATTTTTTTACATTGTACATTTTCATGAACTCAAACTTCTATAACTTTTTTTCTGTTTCACTTTCTTAATTTATTTCACTTCTACAAAAATCTGCCAAATGTCTTCTTTAAAACAAGACCAATCTTACGTCTATATTCCAAAGCATTCTTGAATTACAACCATTTAAGTTCGAAATGTGCATTTTCATGTATATTCAAAAAAAGGGGGGTGACACTTAAAGGGTTAAAGCGTATTAGACATATAAACAACATTAAAAGCTGTATTTTTAAAACTATCTTGTAAGTTGTAAACAATCAGGGCAACATGTGATCATCAAACAGTGGATCTCTGAGCTGAGTGAGTGAGTGGAGGCGGGGCTCATTTGCATATTCATAGAACCGTGTATACTAAATGAGGCAAGGGTGTCGAGTTACATTCAAGATATTTTAAGACATGAAGATTTTTTTTTCAAGGAAAACGTTTAAATATGTCATTTTGGTGATTAAAGATGAGTTTAATAATAAAGTGTTACCAAACGTTGCTTGTGTTCTGGAAGAATGAGTTAATTTGAGGCATGAATTACATTTTTTGATAGTTTTAGTCTATTTTGAACTGCTGTGTCCAACTGCAAGTTGGAAGAGTTTTGAAAAAATTAGAGAAATGTGTCCTAGCGAAAAATTTAAAGATCCTTAAAAGTTCTTATTCTGTAATGATAAAAGTTATGCAATTTAACAGGTCTGGTTTTGTTTTCACGCACCTCGCGTGTTTCTTCCAGAAGTGCCGCAAACGTTCTTCAGCTTCTCTAAGAAAAAGACACACGTTACTCAAAAAAGACACGGGATATTAAAGCACATATTAAACAGTGCTTTAGTAATCACAAAGCCACAGTTGCTCTCCAGCCTAACGCCTTTAACCGAGCGTGACGAGACCTGAGAGGAGATCGCCTGCGCACCTGCTGTTTCTTCCTGCGCAGAGAGAGCTTCGGCGAGAGACGCATCAGCGGATGAACCGAGTGAGACTGAAGACCAGGAGAAAACATATTCATATATACAGTAGCGGCCAAAAGTCATTTTAATGACCCTACAAATGATATTAAACCATCAAAATACACTGTAAAAAGTGTTCAGTTCACTTACTTAATTTTTTTTTTGTAAACCCGTTGCCTTAAAATTATTAAGTAAACGTAATGCTTGATTGAAAAAAATTGAGTTATGTGAACTAGACAATAATTTTTTCGATTAAGCATGAAGTTTATTTACTTAACCCTCTGGGGTCCTTCATTTCAGAGTCACACTCAGGACCTTCGGGTCCAAATGGGCCGGAAGGGTGGGATTAATATTTATTTTTAAAAAATCATCTTTTTTTTTTTTTACTTGTTTTTTATAATATTTTTTCTTTTCTTTTTTGGTGTTTTGAGATAATTTCAAAAATAAAAATGATTTATAATTAATATTAATGCAATAATTATGACCCATTTTTTCCCCATTGAATATAATAGAAATTAAAAAAAAATATATATATATATATATTTTTTTTTAAAGCTGTATTTCATTTTAGAGTCAAGCCTAGGCCTCATGAAAGCATTTTTTGAAATGAGATGGATGCCATCTGGTGGACAAACTGAGCATTTTAAAAATTCAAAACCCATATGTAATCTGAATTTATTAGTGTGTATGTGTATAAAAGTGTGTTTGTGTGTGTGTGTGGATGTGTCTGTTTTGCACTCTTGATGTTTTATAGATTCACCCCTTCACTGTTGTGTGCTTTTTTTCTGGATCGTGGCTGATTTGTAGTTTGTACGCACAAAATAACTCTGTATTTTCACATTTTTGCCAATTTCCCATTCATTTCCTATGCGGGTCCATTTGGACCCGAAGGTCCTAAGTGTGACTATTTTTTTTACAACCACTTAGACTATTCAAATCCTGTCCCCAATTTTTTGGGGTGTTCATATGCCAAGTACCAACAAAGTCACCAAATTTCGGACCATTCCGATAAAGCAATGATTTAAAAAAAAAAATTTTTTAAATGCTTCGGGTCCATTTGGGCCGAAGGACCCCCAGAGGGTTAATAATTTTAAGGCAACGGGTTTCCTCAATTTTTTTTAAGTTAAGTCAACTTATCACTTTTTACAGTGATACATATTTTAAATATAAGGGAAGAACAAAACACTAAACTTTTGCTATTATAATTTTTTTTGGCAATCTACACTGTAAAAAATATTTTAGCAATTTAGTTATTTCAACTTATTTTTTTTTGTGTAGAGATAACTAGATTGTCCAGACAACAAGAAATTTTAAGTTTTCTTGTCCTCAACTTATCGAAATAAGTTAGTTAAACTAAAAAAAAACCCATGCAAAAAGATAACACAAAATAATGAGTTAAGTTTTTTTTACAGCGTACAGTTACAGGTTATTTTTTACCATGCATAAAGCTAACAGGATAATGCAAACATTGACCCCAACATAATCAGATATTCATATTTAGTTGGTTCGCTCTTGTTTTTGCATGTGTTCATAATTTATTTGTATGACGGCCTGGATAAAAATGACGTTGCACAATTTGTAATGTTTCATTGCGTCATTATGACTAATAAAACAATCGCCTCCATGCACAACTACGCAATATGCTTACAAAATCTTTATAATATTTCAATAAATGGTCAATTTTCCTAGGCTGGTCAATTTTCCTTATCAGGGAATATGCATTATATAGAGAGAATGTTTGAATATAGTAACGTGAGATGTTGATACCTCTCTCTCCACTTCGCCGACTGAGTTGTGTGCTTTGGAATAATGAAACAGGAACTGAAGAGCAGAAGACAAACATCAGTCTGGCATCATCAGGAACAGGACAGAAAGCAGAAGCTGCTCTATATGAACTTACCCTCTTAAAAACATTCTGAATCTGCTCCTGTAGAAACACATGAGAGAGTTCAGACACAGGGTCACGGGGTCAAAGGTCATGATGATGAACTCACTCACACACTCACCTGGTCCTGGTTCCTCCACTCCACACCACACAGAGAACTTAGTAAAGCCGAGGCCTAAACACACAGACATGTACAGTGTGATTAGCTATGAGTTAAAGGTGCGGTGTGTACGTTTTAGCGGCATCTAGTGGCGAGGTTGGGAATTGCAACCAACAGTAATAAACAATGAGGTTTCTTTACAAAGATAAATTAAGGAATTAGGTTTACTTTGCAAACATTATTGCGAATATTATTGTTACTTTAGCTAGCTTCTTTGCACGAAGAACTACATAGTGACGAAACGTGTTTGTCCGCTCAGGGCCACCGTAGAAACACGTCGATGTGCCGCGGTGTGTGTAGAGAGAAATGCCTCATTCTAAGGTAATAAAAACATAACGGTTCATTATGTAAGGTCTTTATACACCACTGAACACATAGTTATGTATATGATATTGCATTTCTGTCAACAGATCCTCCTAAATATTACACACTGCACCTTTAAAATTAACTTGTACATTTGGATAGATAGATAGATAGATAGATAGATAGATAGATAGATAGATAGATAGATAGATAGATAGATAGATAGATAGATAGATAGATAGATAGATATTATTAGACAATACTTAAGCCAAAAATAAAATAATTCATTCATACCTGAATATAATCTCCATAATCATCACAATCTGTCAGTGGTCTAGGATAGCCTTCTGCAATCATACAAAGACAATCTGTGTTATTGATTAACAGAGATATCCCACTCTAAAATCCTGATGGATTATTATCATAATTTGAAACAACCTTAAATTAATTTTATAATTATTATAACAGGATTTCAACAAAATGCAAACAAAATCTAGATAATTACATTAGTTACCATAAATTAAGAACAATACTTCCACAGCATTTATTAATCTCAGTTACCTTTTTTAAATCAGAAGTTGTATCTGTTAATATTATTGAGCTGACATGATCTAACAATGAACAGTTATTAACGAAGATTAATAAACATTCATGGATACTGTAATAAACCTATTGCTCATTAATATTAGTTCATGCATTAACTAACGCTAACTAATGGAATATTATTCCATGTTTAACATACAAGATTTATGATAAAACAAAAGACCCAGTTCCCAAAGAAACTGTGGTTTTGAAACTCCATGCACTTTCTAATATTAAAGTGAATCAAATATTAATTTAATTTTTATTTGATTCCTTTAGGATTTATTCCAAATGATCAACGAGAATCCTGAACAAATTACATTAGAAAGTCAAACACCCCGTAAAGCTGATAATTAACTTTATAAAATAAGAGAAATGCGTCCTGTCATCTGTCGATACACACAATATTTAGAAATCTAATGTCAAGTGAAATGCAAGTGCTGGAGTTACTCACCAACAGCTGAATAAAAGCTGCTGATTAACCAAACTAAACAGCAAAACACCGAAAAGTGCCGATAGCACGCGCTCCCCATAATACCCGTGTGAGTTGGGTTGAGTTCTGAAGGATGTTCTTCTTCTGGTTTTGGAGAACTGAAGTCCTGCTGATGCTGATCAAGGGTGTAAAGTCTCTCATAGCAGGCGACCAATCAACACCGAGATCCAGTCCCCGCGCGCACCACTACCAGAGCGCGCTCTCGACCTGCGCGCGTCACACACACACACACACACACACACACTGTGGAAATAATCACGGATCGAGAGTCACGCGTCACAGGGACACCACATTCAATTATGTGGGCTTACCTTCCACGCTCTTAATTAGTAGGCTATTAGTATTAGGCGTGAGTTTGAGTCAGACATCTCCTCTTCAGCAGCTTTACATTCACCAAACTTTACAGTTGTATTCCTAAATGAATATAGGTAGGAATAAAATGTAAAAATGTTCTATAAATCGGGTGAATGATATATGAACAAACCTTAAGAATTCTCAAAATGCATAAAAAGTTATTGTTTTCGTTGTTTTTGACCCATTGTAAACAGTAAAAAGTTCTCCAATAATTGTATCCCTTAAAACTCATATTTGATCACCAAAATTACACGTTTAAAGTGTTTTCCTTGAATAAAATGCTTTGAATGAATATGCAAATGAGCCCCGCCTCCACTCACTCACTCACTCAGAGATCCACTGGTTGACGATCACACGTTGATCTGATTGGTTACAAGGTCGTTTGTGACGTCAGAAACACCAGCGATATCAAACCGTGTTTTTGAGACTGTCTTTGGTTCACTGCAGTTTTAAGCAGAAAATACTCAGCAATGCTGTCGACTTATGAACTTACACATGGTTTGTCTTAAAGCGTATTAAAAACACCACATAGACACATATAAACAACATTAAAACTAGATTTTCACCACAGGGGGACTTTAAGATATTCAAGTAGGAAATATAAAGAAATTTAATAAAGTTATCGAACACTTCAGTCTTCACAGCATAAATTGAATATATTTCTTTTGTTCTTTGATTATTGTTCCCCGGCCTCAGTTGCAAATTTAAACATAACATAAACTACAAAATATGTTTGCGATTCTATGACAATGACAATTTATTTGTATAGCACTATTAAAAACAACAGCTGTCAATGTAATCAATCATCTGGAGAAGTATGGTGATATATATATTGCTTAAATGTTATTTTTATTGCACTGTCAACCCTGGAAAATGTTGTTGATAGGCCTATATTGGGACAGAAACAAAACAATCCTGTATTTTTTACAGGTCACATTCAGAATCCACTGCACTTCTGTTATTTATATGTTTACTCATCTAGGGAGTTCAAGTGTTTAAATATAAAAGCACTGAGAAAAAGGAAATAGCTGAGAGACTATATATAACTAATACAGAGGTTCTTATTAATTCAACCTCTCCAGATTGAAAGAAAAATAATACATGCACCTGTTTTAGATTTAAACAATCGCCGCAATGGATGTTTTGATCGGTGAATATTAGAATAACATGTTCATTTTTTCCAGATTGGATGGAGCTGTTTTTCCATAAACGGTGACGTCACTGGTCGAGTTTCCAGTGTTTCGTCTTTGATGCATTAATAACGGATTACACAGTGGACCGAGGCGTCGTTAACGACATGTTACGGCAGATTTACACGCAAAGCTGAGCAGAGACGAGACCCACGTGACCTTACCTTTCACATTTACTCAGGGCTTTTGGAGGACATAACACTTTTACACTTTCTCAGTTTGTGTAAACCTATAGGCCTACTTAAGGTTCAGAGTATTTATTTGTTCCCGCATTAATGTCACACGTCTAGTATAATTATGTGGTTTTGTTTCATTAATACGCTGTATAGGCCTACTTTTTTCTTGTTTTACCCTGAAAGAATAAAAGTGAATGTGACAACATGCCCCATATGTGTGGGTAGCTACATTATAACCTTATAACATGACCATATGACCGATTCAAATGTTATCTGATCTAATAAAATACAATTATTAACTTTTTTACATAAAATAATGTCATTTTTTTTAAATAATTAAAATATATATATTTTTGAATTTGACAACGAACACACCGAAAAACAGCTATATACAGCACACAAAACATAATAGTAATTTTTAATTTCTGAACATGGACTCTCAGTCTTTATTCACCTTTTTCCTCATGGTTTCTCAATAGAATTGATAAAAGTATAGAATATAAATCATAGTTCTAATAGGGTCTCATTGTAACGCTGTGTGACAACATGCCCCGCCTAACCCGGCGAGTGTTTCTGCTGGTTAGCGAAGCATTAAAGAACTATCTCAACTGTTAAATAACAGATTGGAGATTAAAATAATATCATATTTGTCTAATTTTAAATATACACAAAAAACAGAGATGAAAAAATAACACACAAGTGAGACATTTACTTTTGCTACGGATAAATAAATGTTCAGTGATATCTTCCAAAGATTTCTGAATTTTGGCGCATTTTGTTTCTCTATATAGTGTTGATTAACTATAGTAAATACACTAAGTTTCGTCATCTGCATGTGTGGAAGTATTTAAAACAAGTGTGTGACAACTAGCCCCGTGTTAGTTTGCTCACTCATTCAGTCTATCACTCATCTCCTGACATCACGGAAGCAGAGGATTGTGGGTGTACTCATAATTGGGTTTTATTAGTTGAAGTCTAATTGGATTAAGACATACCAGACACCAACCTGAAAGCCTCATTCATCCGAGTGTGTGACAGTCATTTGCTTTTAAGGTGGTGAGAGAGATTTATATAGTTAATAACTTGTACAATAATAAGCTGTAGTGGGTTATAGGGATCGATGGTGGGCACAATATGTTCTTTTAGTTTTTCTATATTTTTGTAGATTGAAATGTACTGTGTTGGTGTCAATGGTGTGAGGTATATTGGCCCAAACAAGGGAAAATGAAAACAAATTCCCAGTGAGAAAGAGTCAGGATACGGTTTGAATCTGAGTATCTTCACTGTTAAAATTATCATCATTTTATGGTACAAAATGCTAATTAGTTAATGGTAAGCTCACTTGAAAAAAATAATTGAATGTAATTTTACAGTAAAATATGTAAAAAAAAAAAAAAAAATCCTTACATGTACTTTTGGGAAGAAAAAAGACCAAGTCATCTTATAATTTACAGTGGAAAAACAGTAAATTGATATTCCCAGAATTCTCACACTTGATGGTTTTCTTCTTATTTTTTTGTTATACATTATGTTACATCTTATGTTGTTTATTGCATTATTCCTAACACAAACACAAAACACCAACATGGTAACACACATCACACTAAAATAATGCAATAAACATCCATTTAACAATATTAGATGTAACATAAAACCCTAATGTAACAAACAAGTGTGATGATGGTGTGTGTGTGTGTGTGTGTGTATGACACCGTCTGCTTGTGGAAAAACTTGTGATGACTTTTATTGATATGATATCTTTCTCTTTATCACTATAAGATGGTTGTCAGTGTGTATTCTACTGTAAAAAATTATCGTGATTTTAACGGTAAAAATGCTACAACTGACTGTTAATTGGTTACCAGAAAGTTTCCTTACTATATACAGTAAATAACTGTGAAAGATCTAATGGTAAATTTAATGTAATTTTACTGTAAAACTCATTTTATAATTTACAGTGAAAAACCGTAAATTGACATTCTCACAATTCCTTGCGTGACACTTCACATTTGGTGTATTTTTGTTGAAATGACCATGTTTCTTCATAGTTTTCTTCTAATCAGTTATGTAGATTAGGGTTTTGTTACATTTAATGTTGTTAAAATAATATTTATTGCATTTTTTAGATTTCATGTGTGCTACCATGATGGTGTTTAATGTTTGTGTGAATGAAACTGTGCAGCTTCTATATATTAGTATTATCTTTCTTGTGGAAGAGCTGCTTGTGATGAGCTTTGATTGATCATGTGACTTTCAACACTAGTGTGATTATTGGGTGTCAGTGTAACAATTGTACAAAACAGATATTATTACTTCAACAAGTCGGTAAATATATCAGATAATAAAATATGGTTTATTACTGTAAATTTTAGGTTAAGTCTGTAAAACCAATAACCGTATTTTTGACGGTATAAAGTTCTGGCAACCACAGCTGCCGTTTTTTTTACTGTAAAAATTACGGTTTATTTTTTACAGTGAGTATTCAATATCAATAAAAAATATGTAGTCCCATGAAGAACCTTTAACATCAATGGAAACACTAAAGGTTCTTTAGAATGTTAATATGTTCAAAACATGGCTCTTCTAAGGTGAAAAATCCCCCTTTATTTTCAAGATTGTACCGTATTTTTTAGGATAAAGTTCTCTGGTAAATTTCTGGCAACCATGTTTTACCGTACATTTTGCTCACTGATCCTCGCATCTCATGAATGAGCATCTGAAGGGCTTTTAAGAGGCGACCTCTTCTCATTTCTGCTGAAATGAATAAACACATCATGCTGCCACTACAAAACGGTTTAGTCACAAAATGTCATGTTCTCCCAACTGGCCAATCGAAGCGCAGGCAGATTGACTTTTTATTGCAGATAGATACTCGTCCGGCTGGAAACAGTTTGATACTCGTCATGTCATCGTATTGATTGAAAATAACAGTGTTAGTGGAGCATATTATAGTCAGAGGAGCTGACGTGGTCCTGGCCACAGATGGCTTGAAGAAAGACCAGGGACCAGTGAAGTTCGTAAGTGCTTTTATAGTCAAAGTAAGTGTTATTCTAGTCAGCTAGAATCTGCATGATGTAGTTTGTAATGCCAAAGAGAGCGATCAAACGATCAAACCAATCTGTGTGAAAGCCACTCCAGCAATGTGACGGACTGAACAGAAAAGTTTCCAGCATTGTCACCAGCTGTCAGGAGAAGTGTGTATAAGAACAATCAAACGAGGTGTGAAGTCTCGGCTCTCAGGTTTAACGATGTCAGGTTGTCCTGCTGGACGACAGGTGATGATAGACCACCATAATGAGCCAATCAAACGTCCGATGGGACACACAGAGGTGAGACTTCTGAATCACTGTGGTCTTCTTAATCACACAGGCACACGTGTCCACGAGAGAAGACACACTAAAAAAAATAAGGTTTTTTTTCAAGAATTGAATTCGTTTGAAATGATTTGTTGTAATCGTGTTGAATGAACTTAAAATAATTGGTTTGCCATTCCTAATAGAGAAAATTGTGTCATGTTAACTACATTTATATTTTGTCCTGCCTAGATACAATTATCAACATTATAATTGTATCTAACTTGACTCTACAGTTACTTCCTAAAATGAAATAATGTGTGCAATTACATTAAAACCACTTTTTACATAGTAACAATCAATACAGGTGAAACTCGAAAAATTAGAATATCGTGCAAAAGTTCATTTATTTCAGTAATTCAACTTAAAAGGTGTAACTAATATATTATATAGACTCATTACATGCAAAGTGAGATATTTCAAGCCTTTATTTGTTATAATTTGGATGATTATGGCTTGAAAACCTTTCCACAATATTCTAATTTTGAATTTGGGGTTTTCATAAGCTGTAAGCCATAATCATCAACATTATAACAAATAAAGGCTTGAAATATCTCACTTTGCGTGTAATGAGTCTATATAACATATTAGTTTCACCTGTTGAATTACTGAAATAAATTAATATTTACACGATATTCCAATTTTTCAAGTTTCACCTGTATATGTAGTTCTAAGTGTGCGGTTTAATGCATATATAGTTATACTGAGTCCCAGTAGTTCAATCTTCTGCATAAGGTAACCACAAAATCAAAAACATGCAAGCCCATAAGTTTCTAACATAACTGAACATTAAACACTAACATTAGCAACATCTTTCCATTTACTGAAAAACACATAAAATAACACTTTAATCCCTAAATATACCCTCCTAATGCAGTCCCTTGCAAAGCATGCTGGGAATTACACTGCCCAGTTAGTTGTCAACAAAAATGATTCATGACTTTTTTTTAAATTAAGTTTTACATGTATTAGGTTGATTGAACACAATTAAATTAAGTAGTTACAAAATGTAAAAAATCGTGTTACTTTAGCTTATTTTAATTAATTAAATTGAACAAGAGGCAAACATTTATTTTTTGAGTGCATGTTAAGCATTGACTTTCTGTTGCTTTGATAAATAGATTGGGAAGTGACTCTGATCCCGCTTTTTGAGTTACGTTAGCTGTGTTTCCATCAAAAGTTGCACTATTTGACATGTGCAAATAAAGCAGTGTTTCCAGAACATAATCATCACTTCCTGGGAATCTGATGCAAAATATCACTAATAAAATTGGAAGTTGCTGCAATCGGGTCTTTTCCCCTCCCAGAAACGTACTGTTATCTTTAACTATGAAACCTAAATCATTGTGCCGACAACTGGAAATCACTGTAATGTGTAGTCGAGGGGTTTCAGTATAAATGCAAACATGCATGGAGAGAAATTAGATATGGTGGAGACCTGTAATATAACAGAAGGCAGGGATTGCTGCACAATCTGCTCAGTATTTAATATTGATATATTTGTTCATTTTATTCAGAGTAACTTACAGTGGGTTCAAGCTTTACATTTCACCAGTATATCATCATCAGTGTAACTTGCCTTACTGACAGCAATGCAAAAAGCAAATGATTTCTTTGTTTTATAACTGTACATTTCACAAATTAAATCATCAGTGAGGGTTGTAAAGCAATAATACATTAACACATTAACTCCACTGTATAAGTAAGGTCTATTATATATAGAAACTTCAAATTTTGTATTGAACTTTCAGACAACATTCAAATTGACTTTGTATGTCCCGTTAATGCACACTGAGATTTGCATGTGATAAGGAGGAAATGTTTGGTTGTTTTAGGTTATGATCAGTCACTTTGGTATGAAGGAATTATTGTGGTTGTTTGTTTATTGAATTCCAAAAATACAAAACAGCTCAGTAGATTCTCAAGATTAATAAACAATGTAAATCCAAATAAGGATAGGCTACAATAGTAACTACATAAAAATAAAATTAAAGTATAATCACTAGCCTACAAATTTAACCTGTTCGCCAGCAGAAAAATCCCAATAAATGGCATAAACTAAATCAGATACAGTTCATGAACCCTGAAAGCATATGTCTCATTTGAAAGCAGACACTTGGCAGTTTATTGTAAAGTCAGAATTAATTATTTTAATAATGAGACTTTTTTTTATTTATAAATAGCTTCAAAGTTTGTAAAGTTATTAGACATTTATTTTTTTGAAATATCTTGATGAAAATAAAATTGATTAAAGTTGGCATTGTATTAATCTAGAAATGCACTGCAGAAAAGCCACATGCCAGACCATGTTATATTTCACTATTTAAGTCTAAAACTCAGGTGATTTTGATCAGGTACCTAATGTTAATTGTCATTTTCTCAGCATCCATTCAGTCTATTGTCTCTATTGTTTTGTGGGGCAAACTATGACCTTTCCAACGTGAAGACGTAAGGTGTGGCGCATCTCAGAGATGGTACAAGACGGGCATTAGTGGTTAAAAAGTACTTATTTAGAAAATTACCGATCGTTTGTCTAGATCAGACTCTTATTCCCCGGCTGGTATCGTGTCGAGACTTTGAAGCTGCACTGAAACTCACATCTGAACCTTCAACCTGTTGGACCCCATTGAAGACACTATATGGAGAAATCCTGGAATGTTTTCCTCAAAAACCTTCATTTCTTTTCGACTGAAGAAAGAAAGACATGAACATTTTGGATGACATGGGGGAGAGTAAATTATCAGGTTTCTTTTTAACTAATCCTTTAAAACTGCAGTGAACCAAAGACATTAGGCTTGTTCGACTTGAACCGGCGCTGCACAGACCATTGTTTTATGACATTAAAGTACCGCGAGAGCGATTGAAAAGCACATGGAGCCGTCTACTCTCTAATCGCTCTCGCGGTATTTTGATGTCATTCACCGATCGGTCTGTGCAGCGCCAGTTCAAGTCGAACAAGCCTTGCAAGCATCAAAAACGTAGGTGTTTCTGACGTCACAAACTACCTTGTAACCAATCACTTCAACATGTGATCGTCCTCGAGTGGGCCTGGTGTGAGTGAGTGGAGGTGGGGCTAACTTAATTTGCATATTCATAGAACCGCCTATAGCCTACTAAATGAGGAAAGGGTGTAGGCTACATTTAAAAAAGTTACATTCATGCTATTTTAAGGCATGAAAAAAATTTTACAAGGAAAAAACATTTTAATATGTAGCCTAATTTTGGTGATCAAAGATTAATTTTAGACTAGAGAATACAATAATTGACTACAGGAGGACTTAAATCAAAGACCAATTCAGTGTGTCGGCGGCTAGTTGTTGCTGTTCTCTGAAGGAGTTCAGCTGCAAGACAATGAGTTAACTACTGGAAACACACGATATATCTAGACCATACTGACCTGTGTCCTCATGTTTACAATCCTTTACGTCGTGATATCTCTTTATGATAACGTGTGCTTGTTTAAGCAGACTTTTGTTTTGACGAGCGCAAAAATATTTTCAAATCTAATGATCAGACACACCGCACACACATAATGTCCTGCAAACCGATTACCTCCGATTACCTCATATCGGCCTATATACAAATAGCCTAGTAATCTTCCTGAAAGTGACACAACAAAACGCCTTCAAAAGTTAGTTTCGCGCTCGATATTCGTCGGATATTCGCCTGCATGAGCAAAATGAAAGTTTTCTGACTATAACAGAGATAGATATGGTTGGTTGCATAAACGTTTAAGAAAGACAGAGTAATAAAAAAGAAGATCCCTCCTTCTGGAATTGCCTGTTCGTTTCCAAACAAACGAAACTGAAGCGTTCGTCGTGCATGGTTTCATTTTAATGGAGCAAAATGGCAGATGAAGTTTCACTCGATCGGGAATCTCTCAGATGCTCCATTTGTCTGGATCTCCTCAGAAATCCGGCGATTATTCCCTGTGGACACAGTTTCTGCACGGACTGTATTGCAGGTGTGTGGGATCGGGATCGGGATGTGTGCAGATGCCCTCAATGCAAACACACGTTTAACCACAGACCTGTTCTCATTGACTGGCTCCACGTGAAGGAACTTACTGAGAAGCTGATGAAGATGAGAAGAAAGCAGGCTGAGGATGATGAAGATGTGAGCTGTGACTCCTGCACCTCGAGATCGAGTAAAGCCGTCAGAACCTGCCTCACCTGTCTCGCTTCTTACTGCGAGTCTCACCTGGAGAAACACAATGATCTGCACGGGTGGAGTAAACACCAGCTGACGGATTCAGCCACGGATCTCCACGGCAAAACCTGCTCTCAGCACGGCAAACTCATCGATGTTTTCTGTCGCACTGATCAGCAGTGTGTCTGTCTGCTGTGTGCAATACATGAACACAAGAGTCACGACACCATCTCAGCATCTGACGAAAGAGCAGACAGACAGGTAGAGGTCCTGCAGAATTGTGGCTTTTAATATCTTACAATCTTTACAATAAACTCTCATTTGTTAACATTAGTTAATGAACTATCTACGAGCAATACATTTGTCACAGTATTTATTAATCGTTGTTAATGTTAGTTTGTTGTTTGTTCATGTTAGTTCACATGCATTAACTAATGTAACGTCCCGTAGTCAATCATTTTATCCCTTAACACTCATCTTTGATCATCAAAATAACAAATTTAAATGTTTTGTCCTTGAAAAAAAAGTCTTCATTCTTTGAAATAGCTTGAATGCAACGCTACACCTTATTTACTATACCCTGTTCTATGAATATGCAAATTATCCCCGCCTCCACTCACTCAGTGGGAGAGACGGATATTCTTTGCGGCGCGAAACACGTTTTTGCAGACAGACAGTTATCAACAGCTGAGGCATTTCACTATTCAATGTTCTCCGCACTCTGACGTCGATTTTCTTTGCTTGGTTAAAGATTTCGAAATAATTATATTCTTTTTTTTCCCTAGGAATCCTTCACTTGATAGCCCCTGGGTTAAGCAGAATTGATTGATAGGCAGACGCTTACTCCGTTGCTCCGGCGAATTACTTCATTAATCCTTGTTTTATTGCTTTACCAGGCATTTATAAGCAAGCACTTTTTATTTTTATATCATGTGAACTTATCCACGAAACTATTCCTTATAAAAAACAATTAGATTGCTTTGATATCGCTACTTATATCCAACCTTTCGATTCTCGGCTACTAGCCTTTAGCCCGCTAACATTTCACGCGTGGCCTCGGCCGTCTAATATTACATCCTTTCACTGAAAGGACACGAGTTATATTTGACATTGCAGTCCTAAATTAGTACTGATAGTTGTAGTATCACTGCTAATTTACAGCTCATTTGTTATAATGGCGAACATATCGGATGCGTGTCTAACTTTACCTCTGAGTGCAGGTGAGGACACTTTCGAGCTATTCTCGGTGAATCTGGAGCTGGAATCCGTGGAGAAACAGATCCGTGGTCTGCTGGAAAAGCAAGCCGAGCTGTTGGATCGGCGATCAGCACTTGAAGCAGCACGCGCCGATGCTCACAAGTTAGTGGTTAGTAACTCTTTAACTCCGAGTTCGTCTACTCCGTGTGTTTCTCTGTCCAGAAGGACGCGATCATCTCGGGCTTCATTTACTCCGGCACCGACACAACACAATGGACCATGGATCACGCAGCGGAAGACGCGAGCCAGGACCAGAGCTACTCCTCCGCCCCTCCCGGTCTTCGAGATCTCCACTCGGAACCGCTTCTCCCCTCTTCGCGAGTCGAAACGCGACGACGCCGTGATCATCGGCACGTCCATGGTCCGCCATGTCCGTGCTACCTCAGGTAAAGGTAAGGTGCGCTCTCACTGCTTTCCTGGTGCTCGTGTTCTTGATATCGCTGCACAGGTTCCCGAAATCCTGACCGGGGACGAGCGCGTCGGAGCTGTGGTGCTGCATGCGGGAGGGAGCGACGTCAGGCTGCGGCAGACGGAGGTTCTGAAGAAGGACTACATGAGCCTGATCGAGACCGTACGCAACACAGCGCCTGAGGCAACGATCATCGTGTCTGGACCGCTTCCCACGTACCGACTAGGACAAGAAAGGTTCAGTAGACTATTTGCACTAAATGAATGGTTAATGTCACTGTGTAATGAACAGAAACTGCTCTTTGTAAATAATTGGAATCTGTTTTGGGAGCGACCCAGGCTGTACCGTGCTGATGGCCTGCACCCCAGCAGAGCCGGAGCGGCTGTTCTGTCGGATAATATCTCCAAGACGTTACGCACCAGATGACTAATAAGTCAAAATCCAAATCACAGTCTTTGCTGTCCAAACTTAATTGATATACGTAGTGAAGAACATTATATAGAAACTGTGTCTATTCCTCGTTTAGTGAAGCCAAACAATAAATCTAGTGCAGGATCTAGCAAAAATCTTATTGTAATTAAACCAGAAAATCTAAATATCAGTGAACAAAAAGAATTTCTAAAGCTAGGTCTTCTAAACATTAGATCGCTCACACCTAAAGCGGTTATTGTAAATGAAATGGTCACAGATAATAATTTCGATATACTTTGCCTTACTGAAACCTGGCTTAAACCAAATGAGTATTTCGGTCTAAATGAGTCTACTCCGCCAAGATACTGTTATAAGCATGAGCCCCGTCTGACTGGTCGTGGCGGCGGTGTTGCAACAATCTATAAAGATATTCTTAATATTTCTCAGAAAATAGGTCACAGATTTAATTCGTTTGAAGTACTTATGCTAAATGTTACGCTCTTAGATGTAAGAAAGAAATCCATATTATCTCTAGCCTTGGCTACTGTATATAGACCTCCAGGGCCATATGCTGAATTTCTAAAAGAGTTTGCAGACTTTCTCTCGGATCTATTGGTCAATGTCGATAAAGCAATAATTGTTGGAGATTTTAACATACACGTAGACAACAAAAATGATGCCTTAGGGGCTGCGTTTACAGATTTATTAAACTCCTTTGGGGTCAAGCAAAACGTCCGTGGTCCCACTCATCGTCTAAATCATACACTAGATTTAATTATATCATATGGAATCAATCCAACTGATATAGATATTATACCGCAAAGTGATGATGTCACTGATCATTACATGGTAACGTGCATAATACGTACTGCTGAAATATGTCATGTTGCGCCACGTTATAGACCAGGCAGAACAATCCTTCCAACCACTATAGATAGATTCTCAAATAGCTTACCTGATCTATCTCAGCTGCTCAGTGAACCCAAACTAACAGATGAACTAGAGGAAATGACTAGCAGTTTGAGCACCATTTTCACTAGTACATTAGATATTGTTGCACCAATTAGATTAAAAAAGGTTAAAGAGAAAACTAAAGCACCATGGTACAACAGTGTTACGCATGATATCAAGAGAGAAACTCGTAACCTAGAGCGTAAATGGAAACGAACTAATTTAGAGGTCTTTAGAATCGCGTGGAAAGACAGTATGTCACGTTATAAAAAGGCTCTAAAAACAGCCAGGGCTGAGCACCTCCGCAAACTAATAGAAAATAACCAAAATAATCCAAGGTTCTTATTTAACACCGTGGCTAGACTAACAAATAAACAGACATCACCAGAGCAAAATATACCGTTACAGTTTAGTAGTAATGATTTTATGAATTATTTCAATGAGAAAATAGAAAGCATTCGAAACACAATTATAAATGTACAATCCTCTATGGTCTCTTATGATTCAGCCTCAATTATCGTCCCTCAAGAACAACTACACCGCTTTGCAACGATAGGACAGGAAGAGCTAAATAAACTTATTATTGCATCTAAACCAACAACATGCTCATTAGATCCAATACCCACTAAACTACTGAAAGAAGTGTTACCTGTAGTGGAAGAGCCTCTTCTTAATATTATTAACTCGTCTTTATTCTTAGGTCATGTTCCAAGAATATTCAAGTTGGCAGTAATAAAACCTCTCATTAAGAAACCGCAACTAGATCCAAATAACCTAGCAAATTACAGACCCATTTCAAATCTTCCATTTATGTCCAAAATACTAGAAAAAGTTGTATCCGCTCAACTGTGCTCTTTTTTGCAAGAAAATGATATCTATGAAAAATTCCAGTCAGGATTCAGACCGCATCATAGTACAGAAACTGCGCTAGTTAAAATTACAAATGATCTACTCTTAGCTTCTGACCAAGGCTGTATCTCAATACTAGTCCTACTTGATCTTAGCGCCGCGTTCGACACTATAGATCATAAAATACTCTTGGATCGACTACAAAACTACACTGGTGTTCAGGGACAGGCATTAAGCTGGTTTAGATCGTACTTATCTGACCGTTATCATTTTGTCTCTTTACACGGGGGAAAATCAAAGTTAACGTCAGTAGACTACGGAGTACCGCAAGGATCGGTGCTAGGCCCTCTGCTATTCTCAATATATATGCTGCCACTTGGTAATATTATAAGAAAACATGGAATTAATTTCCACTGTTATGCTGACGACACTCAATTATATATTTCATCACGACCAGATGAAAACATTACCTCATCTAAATTGACAGAATGTCTCAAAGATATAAAATGATGGATGACGCGTAATTTCCTGCTATTAAATTCAGATAAAACGGAGGTATTACTTATTGGTCCAAAAAACTACACACAAAACCTCTTACAATACGACTTTAATATAGAAGGATGCCCTGTTACTTTTTCCACTACAGTAAAAGACCTGGGTGTTATACTAGACCGCAACTTGTCTTTCGAAAATCATATTTCATCTGTTACAAGAACAGCCTTTTTCCACCTTAGAAACATTGCTAAATTACGTAACATGCTATCTGTTTCTGATGCAGAAAAGTTAGTTCATGCATTCATGACCTCGAGACTAGATCACTGTAATGCTTTATTAGCTGGTTGTCCTGCATCCTCAATAAACAAGCTACAGTTAGTGCAAAATGCAGCCGCTAGAGTTCTTACTAGATCAAGAAAATATGATCATATAACACCGATTTTATCATCTCTGCACTGGTTACCTATTAAGTTCCGTATCAATTACAAAGTACTACTACTGACCTATAAAGCCCTTAATGGTTTAGCTCCTATGTACTTAACGGACCTTCTTTCGCCCTACAATCCACCGCGTTCTCTAAGATCACTAAATTCAAGGCTTCTGGTCATTCCTAGGATATCGAAGTCCACGAAAGGAGGGAGGGCATTCTCGCATTTAGCTCCAAAACTCTGGAATAGCCTTCCCGATACGGTCCGATGCTCTGACTCGCTGACACAGTTTAAAACTAGACTAAAGACGTGTCTCTTTAGTCAAGCATTCACATAATGCTTACCTTTTAGTCCTCTGCTATGCCATACGGAACCGTTTGCCACTGAAACTGCTTAACGCACCAGTGGGGCTCGACAGCCTTATAGACAAACGGGTCGGTCCGTATGGTTGCGGAGAGTTTGGGTTACGGAGAGTTGTGAGATTATGGTTTTCTAACACCTACTCCCGTGTAATGGAAATCATTATGAACATCAGCTATGCTAATTATTTCCCATCTGCCTTTCTGCTGTTATCTCGGGACGCTTGTCCCGAGAAAAATGGCGTTCGTAGGCTCCAGTTTGGTATCCTGCCTCTCACGGGGATTTCGGATGCCTCAACGCCTGTGATGAGAAGACCAACGCCTGTGAAGAGACGACTCAACGCCTGCGAAGAGACGACTCAACGCCGGCGATATGTTATCCCCTAAATATTACATGATTAACTAAATGTATTTTTTCCAGGTACTCTCTGATATGGACTTACTGTAAAGCTTCTTTAAAACCCTATGATTGTTAGCCAGAGGAGAACTGGCCCCTGACTAGCCTGGGTTCTCCCAAGGTTTTTTTCTCCATCCAATCTGATGGAGTTTTGGTTCCTTGCCACTGTCGCCTTGCTTTTGGCTTGCTTAGTTGGGGATATTTAATATTCAACAATATTATTGAACTGTGTTGTACTACTTTCATGTTATCACTGTGAAGCTGCTTTGATGCAATCTGTATTGTGAAAAGCGCTATATAAATAAATGTGACTTGACTTGACTTGACTCACTCCACTCATTGACGATCACAGGTTGATCTGGGGTGCGTTTCCCGAAAGCATCGTTGGCCAACTATGGTCGCAAGTTGGTCGCAAATCCCATTGAACTCTATTGGTAACGACGGAACTTGCGACCATAGTTGGCTAACGATGCTTTCGGGAAACGCACCCCTGATTGGTTACAAGGTCGTTTGTGACGTCAGAAACACCAGCGATTTCAAACCGTGTTTTTGAGACTGTCTTTGGTTCACTGCAGTTTTAAGCAGAAAATACTCAGCAATGCTGTCGACTTATGCATTTACACATGGTTTGTCTTAAAGCGTATTAAAAACACCACATAGACACATAAACAACATTAAAAACTGCATTTTCACCACAGGGGGACTTTTACTAACAAATTCAACTTTTGATTTTAATAATGTATTATGTTGAAATTAACATTAAGTAGAAGTATTGTTCATTCTTAGTTAGTTAGCTAAAGTTGTTAACTTATGCAACCTTATTGTAAAGTGTTACCAATCTTAATCCTGGTATCTAAAAGTTAACGTAATGCACATTTACAGGTTTTATCTGCAGTTAAAAACAAACTATTTTCTTTCGCCAGAGGAAGTTAATGGAAACACGTGTGCAGTTTCTGCAGAACATCCAAGACAGAGAGAAGGATTTTAAAGAGCTAACGCAGGCGGACGAGACGATCCGAGTGAGTATTGATCATCTGTATTGAGTATTGATCACTCAGTTTTGAGTATTGATCACAGATCTCACGTTATCAGTGTGTCTTCCAGCCCCAGAAGAAAATGTTGCACAGAGACTGCTCTTTCATTGCTCTAGAGATATACAGTATTGAGTTCTCTATTATGATTCATGGATCCACTTTGCCTCATATGTTTCTCCTTAAATTCCTTAGGAGAAGTACATCTGAGTAAGAGTATATAATTATGGATATTAAAGTGGAAAGCGGCTCACATCAGCTCTTTGCAGAGTTTTTGATGAGAGATGTTTAACGAGAGATGTTGGCAAATCTGAGCACAGTTTGAGAAATTGAGACGTCTTCTGAAACCCATAAGCAAATACCCAGCGTATTTTTGTTTGATTTTGTTAACTTTCCCATTAAGTTATGAAAATGTTATTTCTGAATGTTTTCTAAAGAATCTAAACATTACATTTTTTAAATGTTTTAAAAATGTTTTTGCTTGGGTTATGGGAACGTTAAGGAAACATTCAATTAAAAAAAAATAGTTTTTTTTTTTTTTTTACACAATCCATAGAATGTTACTTTTGAATGTTCTCTAATCCAGTAGTACCATTTAAAAAACATTAGACGAACGAACATCCAACTAAAATATTCCATCAACGATGTATAATGTTTTCATGCTAACTATTTTAGAACATTATTAAAGAGATACGTTTATATGAATATTCTATTAATGTTACTGGAAGAACGTTTGTTCATAACTTTGAGAGAACCTTGCCGGAACGTTATTTCAGAAATGTAAAGTTCTAAGAAAATACAAATTATGCAGTTAGCTAACATCAAGTATTAATTCAGGCAGACATAAGGAGCTTGTTAAAGCAATTATTACAAGTTGTGATCATTGTGATTCCAGTATATGTAAGATATATTTAGTTTGTGATTGTTTTTCCTGGAACAGCGTTCAGCGCAGACGGCAGTCACAGAAAGTGAGCGAGTCTTCAGCGAGGTGGTGTCCAGCGTTCAGAAAACATGCTGTCGTGTGAAGGAGCTGATCGCAGAACAACAGAGAGCTGAACTCAGTCACATTGAAGGACTTCAGGAGAAAGTCCAACAGAAGATCGCTGGCATGAAGAGGAAGGTGTCTGAGCTTGATCAGCTTATGACCTCTGAAGATCACATTCATTTCCTGCAGGTTTGTGAAGATGATCACATTCTAATCAAGAGTCTGTCAATAATTGTATCCCTTAAAACTCATCTTTGATCACCAAAACTACATATTTAAAAATTTTTCTTTCATGCCTTAAAATATCTTGAATGTAACTCGACACCCTCGCCTCATTTAGTATGCGCTGTTCTATGAATATGCAAATGAGCCCCGCCTCCACTCACTCACTCAGCTCAGAGATCCACTGGTTGACGATCACACGTTGATCTGATTGGTTACAAGGTCGTTTGTGACGTCAGAAACACCAGCGATTTCAAACCGTGTTTTTGAGGCTGTCTTTTGTTTTAAGGAGGAAATACTCAGCAATGCTGTCGACTTATGATTTTACACATGGTGTGTCTTAAAGCATATTAAAAACACCACATAGACATATAAACAACATTAAAAGCTGGATTTTCACTTTAATAAAACACTAAGTTTATTAAACAACAACACTTTCTCAATGTTTGATGAGGAAACCACTAGATTATACTTACTTTTCGATATATATTTTTTTTAAATTTAGGCTATTGACAAAGTTTCGAAAGAATTAATGTATATTTTTGTATTTTCTTCTTTCTGCATTATTTGTTATGTATCTGTAGAATTACCCGTCTGACTGTGAAGAATCCTCGTCTGAAGAATTTGAAGATCTTTCCAGCATTTCTGAACATCCAGATGCTTTTTATCACAACGTGAGGATCCTGGTTTCTAAAATGCAAGAGCGTTTGATGAATGTCACCAAAACGACAGAGATCGAGATCAAGATCAAGTCTGCAAAAGGTTGGAAGACTTCATTAAATATAAAGAAAACTGATAGATTCTCCATTTTCGAGTTCTATCCATATGTCTGTAACACTGTAAAAAATGCGATATGATCAATGAGTCACGACAACATATGATTTTACATTACTTCAATTCAACAAAAAAAGATAAGCAATTTTTGCTATTTCACGTCTATTTAAAAACAGTTACCAAATATGGAAACTCGAGTCTTTCCTGATATATAGTTTGTGTGGGACAGTGACAGTTAAAGTCCCCCTATAGTCAATCATTTTATCCCTTAAAACTCATCTTTGATCACCAAAATTACAAAAAAATTCTTCATGCCTTAAAATATCTTGAATGTAACTCGACACCCTTGCCTCATTTAGTATTCGTGGTGCTATGAATATGCAAATGAGCCCCGCCTCCACTCACTCAGCTCAGAGATCCACTGGTTGACGATCACACGTTGATCTGATTGGTTACAAGGTCGTTTGTGACGTCAGAAACACCAGCGATTTCAAACCGTGTTTTTGAGACTGTCTTTGGTTCACTGCAGTTTTAAGCAGAAAATACTCAGCAATGCTGTCGACTTATGAACTTACACATGGTTTGTCTTAAAGCATATTAAACACACCACATACACATATAAACACCATTAAACGGGGGAACTTTAATGTTATTTCCTTGACAAACTATAGGCTTCATCATTAAAAAGATCTAATCAAGCTTTTCCAAAATTCAGTATTTGACCTCTATTTTATTCTGAGAAACTTATAGTGACAGTTATGTCTTAATTTGTAGCAACATAAACAACAACACAAACGCGTATTTTAAATGAGGCAAGGGTGTAGAGTTACATTCAAGCTATTTTAAGACGTAAAGAACTTTTTTTTTCAAGGAAAAAACATTTAAATATGTCATTTTGGTGCTCAAAGATTAGTTTTAAGGGATAAAATGATTGACTACAGGGGGACTTTAACAAATTTAAGTGTACAAAATGAAAAATCCTACATTTAAAGATTCTATGTATGTAGTAAACACATCATTTGCTTTCCTCCGTAGTCTTGCCTCCTGTTGGAGGAACTGTAAAACTGTCTTCAACTCCAGCGTTTGGTAAAAAAGATGAGCGGCGGTATTGTGATATCAGCCGGGTGACAAACGAAGGCACATCTAGTTCCAGTTCTGATGGTAATCCGCTTTCAACTGGCAGCGGCTTGTGTGGTTCTGTTCAGTTTGACCAGAAGGTTATCTTCCGTTTTGGGGAGCCAGCATTTAACTTCAGTTTTCAGGATGTTCCCTCTAAATCCTCAGAAGAAACATATGAGCCATATACGAGCCAAACATATGAGCCAGCTGTACCATTACCTGATCTTATTGAGATCTCGACTGGAGAGGAAAATGAGCAAGTCGTTTTCAGTCACAGAGCCAAACTGTACCGCTTCGACAAAGAATTAATCGAGTGGAAGGAAAGAGGCGTCGGCGAACTTAAAATACTTCAAAATAATAAACCCAGAAGTGCAAGACTCGTGATGAGGAGAGAGCGGGTTCTGAAATTATGTGCAAACCACTGGATTGCTCCAAATATGAAGCTCAAACCGATGAAAGCGAGCGGGAAAGCGTGGACGTGGAATGCCGTGGACTTTGCTGATGGAGGAGGCGTGGGTCAGACGTTAGCGGTGCGGTTTAAACTGCAGGAGTCGGCCGATGCCTTCAGGGAAGTCTTTGAGGAAGCCGTGGCCACTGCATCCAGTGTATCAGAAACAGGTGAGCGTCTGTAATCCTGCATATTTGCTGAATTAAAGGGATAGTTCACTTTGAAATTAATTTTTGGTATGTTTTAGCTCACCTCAAGGGCATCCAAGATGTAGGTGTCTTTGTTTCCACAGTAGTTTCAATTTTGATATTTTTAGGTCAAACCGTTCTTGTCTGTCAGTCATATAATGCAGGTCTATGGTCACCACCTCAAAGAGCATGCACAGAGAAGTCCAAATTAAACATGATTTAATGACTCGTAAATGTAAGTACACATTGATGGCCTAAGACAGTGGTTTTCAAACCTGTCCTGGAGGACCCCCAACACTGCACGTTTTCTTTGTCTCCCTAATCAAACACACCTGATTCAACTCATCAGCTCATTATCACATGGGTTAATGAGCTGATGAGTTGAATCAGTTGTTTTTGATTCGGGAGACAAAGAAAACGTGCAGTGTTGGGGGTCCTCCAGGACAGGTTTGAAAACCACTGGCCTAAGACACGAAACGAGCGGTTTGTGTGAGAAAACGAACAGTATTTATATTGTTTTTACCTCTTGTAAACACAGCCACGTCCAAGTACTCTGAGGGCGCGGGCGCGTCGGTCTGCGCAAGCGCCGGAAGTGATCTCTCACGCGCGTAGAGGTCTTCTTAGGTCCTAAAAACTGTACCCGACCCGAATCACTACTTACCCGAACCCGACGTGCATAAATAATTTTTTTTTAAAGAAAAACCTGACCTGATAAAATTAGACCCGAGTCCGACCCGATCTGACGCCATTTCCTTTAGAACCCGACTGGACCCGATTCCCGAACGTAAACGGCATTTACATTGTGCACAGCCTGCAGCCCTGCGTTTCTCAAAAATGCACTTAACATAGACGCGCAAGTGTAAGCGCGCTGAAGTGCTAAAATGTCAATCACACATCATAACCAATTACGTCCTATAACATTTGGCATAATCTTATTTACCGGACCATACGATGATTAGAACCACCATTCGTTTTCCCTCACCTTTTTCGCAATGTCATGCTTTTCTGACAGTGTCGCGTATTTTTAAAATTGATTGACAGGCCTGGCTTAATGACAATTCAAATACTTGCATTTAGTCAAACATCCATCCACATGATGGCGCACTAGTTCTTCTTGGCAAAGGGAGGGGTTGGTTTATGTGGAGCGAGCAACTGAGTAAATAAATGCGGAGGCAACCGTGCTTATGCTTATAGCCCATTTGCACGTAGAAGCGCGGATTCGCTCTTTCACTTAGACAAAGTGAGAGAACGCTGTCATAGAGTTGTTTTAAATACTGCAATTTTGTTAAATGCCCAACATAGTTTAAAAGAATTCCGGTCTTCTCGGGTCCATTTGGAAAAGGCCACTAATACTGACCCCGACTCGTCGGAGTTTTGGCCCCTAACCCGTTTGGGTCTCGGGTCGGACCTCGGGTTTTCGGATCCAAGTGGAGCCGTGAAGACCTCTAGCGTGTACGTCACTCGTTGTTTACACAGAGATTTCGGAAGTGTTACCTTTCACTGTGAAGATCTAAACATATTTAGATATACAGGAAATCGCAATGGAAGACGATTTCGATATATCAACAGACAACGTTGAATTGTTTTCGCAACCGCGCGAGAGAGAGATTACTTCCGGCGCTTGCGCAGACCAACGCGCCCGCGCCCTCAGATCACTTGGATCCACAACAGAACCGGAAGACAATACAATGCTGAATAAAGTCCTAGTTTGTGTTAATTTTGGACCAAAATGTATTTTCGATGCTTCAACACACTCTAACTAACCCACTGATGTCACATGGACTACTTTGATGATGTCTTTATTTCCTTTCTGGACAAGGACAGTATACCGTACAGACATTTACACTGGAGGGACAGAAAGCTCTCGGACTAAATCTAAAATATCTTAAACTGTGTTCTGAAGATGAACGGAGGTCTTACGGGCTTGGAGCGACACGAGGGAGAGTCATTAATGACATCATTTTCATTTTTGGGTGAACTAACCCTTTAAGGCTCTGATGTCATCGGCTGCTTCTAATATCGCAGGCTTGTTTTTCTGTGTTAAAAATAATGTCTTGTTTATTTCTATAGATGCAAATCTTCCCAGGGAAAATGCTGGAGCTGCAACAGAGACGCAAAGCGAGAAGAGTGATGATGATGAGGATGATGATGATGATGATGATGATGATGATGATGAGGATGATGAAGCACCTGCACATGTAGATATCGCTTCCCTTTTAGCTTTGCCTGTGTAAAAGTGTATTCAAATAATACTTGAGGAAGTTGTTGTAAAAGTACCGTGTTTTTGTAGTTGTTTCTCTGTAACGTACTAAAATTATAAAGTGCAGTTTACACAGAATGTGATTCTATTGTGTACAAACACTTCATACAAATGTTTGTTGTTTAGACTTGTTTCTCTCAATTTTTTTTATTTTCATTTATTTATTTTAGTGCTGTCAAATCAAATAACCACGTCTATATGTCTATATATACACTCACCGGCCACTTTATTAGGTACCCCATGCTAGTAACGGGTTGGACCCCCTTTTGCCTTCAGAACTGCCTCAATTCTTCGTGGCATAGATTCAACAAGGTGCTGGAAGCATTCCTCAGGGAGTTTGGTCCATATTGACATGATGGCATCACACAGTTGCCGCAGATTTGTCGGCTGCACATCCATGATGCGAATCTCCCGTTCCACCACATCCCAAAGATGCTCTATTGGGTTGAGATCTGGTGACTGTGGAGGCCATTTTAGTACAGTGAACTCATTGTCATGTTCAAGAAACCAATTTGAAATGATTAGAGCTTTTTGACATGGTGGAAGTAGCCATCAGAGGATGGGTACATGGTGGCCATAAAGGGATGGACATGATCAGAAACAATGCTCAGGTAGGCCGTGGCATTTAAACGATGCCCAATTGGCACTAAGGGGCCTAAAGTGTGCCAGGAAAACATCCCCCACACCATTACACCACCACCACCAGCCTGCACAGTGGTAACAAGGCATGATGGTTCCATGTTCTCATTCTGTTTACGCCAAATTCTGACTCTAACATCTGAATGTCTCAACAGAAATCGAGACTCATCAGACCAGGCAACATTTTTCCAGTCTTCAACTGTTCAATTTTGGTGAGCTCTTGCAAATTGTAGCCTCTTTTTCCTATTTGTAGTGGAGATGAGTGGTACCCGGTGGAGTCTTCTGCTGTTGTAGCCCATCCGCCTCAAGGTTGTGCGTGTTGTGGCTTCACAAATGCTTTGCTGCATACCTCGGTTGTAACGAGTGGTTATTTCAGTCACTGTTGCCCTTCTATCAGCTCGAACCAGTCTGGCCATTCTCTTCTGACCTCTGGCATCAACAAGGCATTTCCGCCCACAGAACTGCCGCTCACTGGATGTTTTTTCTTTTTCGGACCATTCTCTGTAAACCCTAGAGATGGTTGTGCGTGAAAATCCCAGTAGATTAGCAGTTTCTGAAATACTCAGACCAGCCCTTCTGGCACCAACAATCATGCCACGTTCAAAGTCACTCAAATCAACTTTCTTCCCCATACTGATGCTCGGTTTGAACTGCAGGAGATTGTCTTGACCATGTCTACATGCCTAAATGCACTGAGTTGCCGCCATGTGATTGGCTGCTTAGAAATTAAGTGTTAACGAGCAGTTGGACAGGTGTACCTAATAAAGTGGCCGGTGAGTGTATATACTTTATATATGATTAAGTTTAAGTTATTTATTTAAATTAACGTTTTTTTAATTCAAATTTAGAAATGTATTAGTCATTTAAATCAAATGTAATTAGTCAGTTAAATCAAGTGTAATTATTAGTATGAATCAAATTAAACATTTAAATATTACTATTTAGGATTCATTTATTTGTATTCCAGTTTTAGTCTTAGTTTTTATTGATTTCATTTTTAGTGTGTATCGTCAGACTTTAATTTAGGGTCTCACTATTATTTACGCCTCAATAAACTTCTAATTACTGCTTATTAATAGTTAGTAAGCTAGTTGTTGAGTTTAGGTATTGGGTGATTAAGGGATGTAGAATATGATCATGCAGAATAAGGCATTAATATGTGCTTTATAAGTACTAATAAATAGACAATATCCTATAGTTTTTCTTAACACGCATTTGTATTTTCATTATAAAACGGATAATTCTGGTCCTTTATTCTAATTGGTTGACGCTTCTCGAAGCGTATTGGTTAATTATGTCATTGCTTCCCTCGAGGTGGAGCTTCCATCGGTTGAGGAGGATGAAGAGGAGATGTTGTTGAAGGAGAAGGCCAAACTTTACCACTGGGACTGTGATATTAACAAGTGGAAAGCCCGAGGTGAAGGAGACATTAAGATCCTTTTCCATCCCTCGAGGAAGATCTACCGCGTATTTATGAGGCAAGAAGGGGATAAAAAGGTGTGTGTAAACCACTGCATCACCAGAGCCATTCACCTGAAACCAATGAACACTTCTGCAAACGCAGTGACATGGACCGCTGCTGACTCTTCAGGTACACAAACTCATAACGTTTACAAAATACACTTAATATTCAGTAATATTATTGATTTGACTATCAGATGAGATCAAAACTTGAACTGAATAATGATGCTATTGTCTTTTAGAGCTGCTTTACAGCAAATTTAAAGTTTGCATCATTGATTCTGTTTATTACTGTGAAGCTGCTTTAATGCAATATGTATAAAGCGCTATAGAAATATAGCTTTACATGTGTTTATATTTCCACACAGAGGGAGATGCTGTATTACGGAGGTTTACTGTCAAGTTTAAGACTCCGGAACTGGCTGTTTCTTTCACAAAAACTTTTACAGACTGTAAAAGTCACATATCAGAGTTAACACAAACTTCGCAAAAGTAAAGCTGCCTTTCCTATCTAATAACCTAGGTCAGAGGTCACACTGAACGAATGTTAATGTTAGAACAATGATGTCACTATAAGCAGCATAGAATGAGTATAAAGTCTAGCTTTGACTTGATCAAGCCATTAAAACTATGTAAATATTTATTTTTCTATATTTTTCAAGGTTTGAATTAGTAGTGATGGAAATAATACTACTATTTGAAAAAAAAAAACTTGTTTAAATATAATTTGCACAGTGACAAAGTTATTTTTGCTCCACATATGTAAAGGTCTTTGGTTTTTGTCTGGAGAAAAGAGATGATGTAATCTTTGAATAAACACGATTTTTGTAAACACATTTACTTGTTTGTGTGTGTGCGTGTCAAGGTTCACTTTTTGTTATTCAGAACAATGATTTGATTATAAATCATAATCAAGAGGAAAAAAGCTTGTGTGTTTACTAAATAATTTAAGTAGCTCGTTGGGACTTTTATTTTGTTTTATTTTGACTGTGCGCGTTCACTTCCGGTCCCTGCAGTGAGTGTTTTGGAGACGAGCGGCGGCTGTTTTGAAAGAACATGAGTAACGAATCTGATTCTGATCTCGATGAAAGAATCGAATTATTAAAACAGAAATATTTGCAGAGGAGGAATCAGGTGAGATCCAGTGAATAAAGCGTTTATTCGCTTAGAGTCCACATTCAGTTGGATATGTTTGTGTGTTTATATCAGAACTCGACTTGTGTTGACAAAATGACATCACAGTTCAAGAGAAGCAAATCATGCTCTGGTAAATCATAATTATGACTGATGACATAATTATGGCATAGTGAGTCATAATTTCGACGTTTTACGTCATAAATATGACATAAAAAGTCCAAGTTATGAAATGTATAGGAAGTATGAGATAAAAAGTTCGATATTATGACTTTCTATGTGATACTTATATCATGGCTTTCTATGTGATAATTAGTTTTTATAACTTTTCGAATTTCAAAGTTCGCCTTTTTTACTTTTCCTGTAATAAATATGACTTTTTGCATTATGACTTTTAAAATTGTAATTTTGACTTATGTTATAATTATGACTTCGACATAATGATTTAATCTCGTAAATGACTTAGTATGTCATAATTTCGTAAATATGACCTACTTTGACTTAATTTTGACTTTTTTAACGTTCCGTTGACTTTCATAAATTGTAATTAAATGTACGACTTTCATCAATTTAATCTCATAAATGACTCATAATTTTTTTTTTGCATAATGACTTTAATTAACCATTTTGACTTGTCATAATTATGACTTTTCATCTCATAAATACGACTCAGTATGTTACAATATCAACTTTTGATGTCATAATTATGATTTACAAAAGCATTTTTTTTTTTGTTCTTGATAGGAATGGGCTTCCATACAGATAAAGAATACAATCCTCAAATGATCAATTTTTTCTGTTGAGAATCATAATAGTGTTACTAGGAACTTTGTGTTCTTATAGTTTTTCTTCTGTGTTATGGAGGAATATATATATATATATATATATATATATATATATTAGGGGTGCACGATTCAGAAAATGTCACGATTCGATTCGATACCGATTTTTTTTCTCAAGATTCGATTCAAAATCGATTTTCGATTCAAAAACGATTCTCGATTCAAAAAACGATTCACAGTATATAAATGTAGTTTACTTTTTCCTATGTGATTGATTGCAGTAGACAAAATTTAAAAGAACAAAAAACACAACAAAATAAATGTAGTTTGATATTACTTTATATGTTTTCATACAAAAATAAAAACTTTTGCAACTAAAAAGTGCAAAGTGCCAAGCTTTGGCCAGCTTTCAAATACATTTAATACAAGTTTAAAATAAAACTTAAATAAAAAGCTTTTACATTTAGCTTTAAAGTGCTGTAGTCAGATCAAACAATTATGCTAAATGTGGTTTAAGGACTACTTCAGCTACCAGGCTGACTGTTGAAATGTGAACTCGACTGGGCACATTGAACTTCCTAAAAATATATACTAATGTCATAGAAGTTAGAACCCTTGCGAAATTATTTTAAATAGATTTTAAAAAGCCACTGCTACTGGTAACATCTATGGTTAGATTGGTTTGTTTAGATCCAGTGAAGTCGTTCATAGGCGTAATTTGCGGGTATCTCCAGTTAACTAGCAGAGCATTCATTTAGTTCGCTATTAAATAAGAGATCTGTTGTTTTTGAAATCAAGCTGAGCGCTCGTGTCCGCTGCTATCAGTGTCATGGATACAGTGTTCTCTGTGGCTCGCGCAGTCTTCACTCGGACGCGCGCTTCAATCTATCGCCGTTGTGGAGACTCCGGTGCAATCACAAAATAAAATGCACACAAACGTGATGAGCATATTGGGTTTTGATGAGAGAGAGAAAAAACTATACGAGTGCGGTTTAGAACCCGTAACCTCTGACACGCTTGGCAAAAGATCAACAGAACGCAAACATAAGATCTGCGGATCGATGCATTTATTCACGGGTTGAGCAGAGAGGCTGCACAGTTTGACCAGCGGGCGGCAAGAACTTGCAATGTAACTATTTATCAGACCGGCCCTCGCAGCCTCGAAACACTACCGGACCACCGGTAAAAGTCCTGACTCATCCGATTGCCACTCCGCCCGTGCACGCCATTAAAAAAAATATATATGAATCGATTTTTGGAATTCTATGAATCGATTCTGAATCGGTAAAGATTGAATCGCGATTCAAATGTGAATCGATTTTTTTGCACACCCCTAATATATATATATAATCTTAGGATCCTTTATAATTCAAGAAATTCCAATAGGATTCTGATTGTTATTCCTCTATTATTGTTATTATTTTATCTTAAAGACTAAGGTGTCTCAGCAGGTTCCAGACGCATCTGCACTGCCGTCAGCTGAGGATGAAGGTGAGTATATTAGTAATAATAATGATGATAAGTGGATCTTTGCACATCTGACCGGTTGAATCCCTCAGCAGTGTGTGTTTGTGCAGTGAGGAGAAATCAGACGTGCAGAAAGATGAGAGATTATAATAAAGCCCTCAGAGAGATCTACAGGACTCGAAGGTCAGGGGTCAAATATGATCTGCTTTAATTATGATTATTACTATTGCACTGAATTGACCTGTGGTCTCATGTTCCAGTGGAGCTGACAGTGCTGAAGAAGATTCTCCTGAAGAAACAAACATATTCTGCACAGAGACAGGTTACACACACACACACACACACACACTGTCTGGTCCACTATCTTTGTGGGGACTCTCCATAGACGTAATGATTTTTATACTGTACAAAGTGTATATTCTGTCCCCTTACACTAACCCTACCCCTAAACCTACCCATCACAGAAAACTTTCTGCTCTTTTACATTTTCTAAAAAACATCATTAAGTATGTTCATTTATCAATTTCCCTTACGGGGACCATTGGCTAGTCCTCGCAATGTAGGTGATTTCACGTTTTACTATTCTTGTGGGGGCATTTGGTCCTCACAATGTAATAAAAACAAGAGCACACACACACACACACACACACAGCATGAAGAATCAACTGTGACGGAGCTCAGAGAGTCTCGTACTGAATCGTGTTCATTTATGCCTAACCAGATGTTTTTTTAACTTTATTTTTTTATCCTTTTGAAAAAACAACAACAACAACATACAATCTCTTCTAAACAAAACAGAACAATCGTTTGGTCACTTATACATTATTAAATAAACATGGATGAAAGTATATGTTCAATTTACAGCCACTTTCGTGTTACAGCTTTCTTGCTGGCTGCTAATAATATCTTTAAAAGGTACTTGGGTAACACTTTATTTGAAGGGGTGTGCATAAGACTGACATGACCCCTTTATAATCATGACCTGACACATGTCATGAGTATGAAGGAGGTTTTATGCATGTTTATGACAACTGTCATTAAGTGTCTTTCGCTCAATTATGACATTTTTAATGCAAATATGACATTGTTTGAGATGTCTTTATGACACCTTGACATAAACCAAATGGTAATGACAATTTGACATTACCAAAACAACATAAATTGTCATAAACATGACATAGCAGATTAATTATCAAACTTAAGAAACCACTGAGCTTTATGGGTTAACATTACATTAAACTGTCAGGTGGTTGGTTTTGACATTGGCTGTCATAAGGCCATTATAACTGCGTCATGAATATTTTTCTTGACCTCAACTACAGTGGTACAAATTTAATTTGTCATTCAAATGTTATAATGGCCTCATGACAGCAATTGTCAACTGACAGTTTAATGTAATGTCAACCCATAAAGCTAAGTGGTTTCTTAAGTTTGATAATTAATCTGCTGTCATGTTTATGACATATTTATGACAGGTTGTGTTGTCTAAGTAATGTCATGTTGTCATGACAAAGATGCTGACAGGTTATGATGTATTATTGGTTTTTGTCAAGTTGTCATGACAAAGACACTGACAGGTTATGATGGTTTATGTCAAGTTTTCATGACAAAGACACTGACAGGTTATGATGAATTATTGGTTTATGTCAAGTTGTCATGACAAAGACACTGACAGGTTATGATGGTTTATGTCAAGTTGTCATGACAAAGACACTGACAGGTTATGATGGTTTATGTCAAGTTGTCATGACAAAGACACTGACAGGTTGTGATGGATTATTGGTTTATGTCAAGTTGTCATGACAAAGACACTGACAGGTTGTGATGGATTATTGGTTTATGTCAAGTTGTCATGACAAAGACACTGACAGGTTATCATGAATTATTGGTTTATGTCAAGTTGTCATGACAAAGACACTGACAGGTTATGATGGTTTATGTCAAGTTGTCATGACAAAGACACTGACAGGTTATCATGAATTATTGGTTTATGTCAAGTTGTCATGACAAAGACACTGACAGGTTATGATGTATTATTGGTTTATGTCAAGTTGTCATGACAAAGACACTGACAGGTTATCATGAATTATTGGTTTATGTCAAGTTGTCATGACAAAGACACTGACAGGTTATGATGGTTTATGCCAAGTTGTCATGACAAAGACACTGACAGGTTATGATGGTTCATGCCAAGTTGTCATGACAAAGACACTGACAGGTTATGATGGTTTATGTCAAGTTGTCATGACAAAGACACTGACAGGTTATGATGTATTATTGGTTTATGTCAAGTTGTCATGACAAAGACACTGACAGGTTATGATGAATTATTGGTTTATGTCAAGTTGTCATGACAAAGACACTGACAGGTTATGATGGTTTATGTCAAGTTGTCATGACAAAGACACTGACAGGTTATGATGTATTATTGGTTTATGTCAAGTTGTCATGACAAAGACACTGACAGGTTATCATGAATTATTGGTTTATGTCAAGTTGTCATGACAAAGACACTGACAGGTTATCATGAATTATTGGTTTATGTCAAGTTGTCATGACAAAGACACTGACAGGTTATGATGTATTATTGGTTTATGTCAAGTTGTCATGACAAAGACACTGACAGGTTATCATGAATTATTGGTTTATGTCAAGTTGTCATGACAAAGACACTGACAGGTTATCATGAATTATTGGTTTATGTCAAGTTGTCATGACAAAGACACTGACAGGTTATGATGTATTATTGGTTTATGTCAAGTTGTCATGACAAAGACACTGACAGGTTGTGATGGATTATTGGTTTATGTCAAGTTGTCATGACAAAGACACTGACAGGTTATGATGTATTATTGGTTTATGTCAAGTTGTCATGACAAAGACACTGACAGGTTGTGATGGATTATTGGTTTATGTCAAGTTGTCATGACAAAGACACTGACAGGTTATGATGTATTATTGGTTTATGTCAAGTTGTCATGACAAAGACACTGACAGGTTATCATGAATTATTGGTTTATGTCAAGTTGTCATGACAAAGACACTGACAGGTTATGATGTATTATTGGTTTATGTCAAGTTGTCATGACAAAGACACTGACAGGTTATCATGAATTATTGGTTTATGTCAAGTTGTCACGACAAAGACACTGACAGGTTATGATGGTTTATGCCAAGTTGTCATGACAAAGACACTGACAGGTTATGATGTATTATTGTTTTTTGTCAAGTTGTCATGACAAAGACACTGACAGGTTATGATGGTTTATGTCAAGTTGTCATGACAAAGACACTGACAGGTTATGATGGTTTATGCCAAGTTGTCATGACAAAGACGCTGACAGGTTATGATGGTTTATGCCAAGTTGTCATGACAAAGACACTGACAGGTTATGATGGTTTATGCCAAGTTGTCATGTAAAAGACACTGACAGGTTATGATGTATTATTGTTTTTTGTCAAGTTGTCATGACAAAGACACTGACAGGTTATGATGGTTTATGTCAAGTTGTCATGACAAAGACACTGACAGGTTATGATGGTTTATGCCAAGTTGTCATGACAAAGACACTGACAGGTTATGATGTATTATTGTTTTTTGTCAAGTTGTCATGACAAAGACACTGACAGGTTATGATGGTTTATGTCAAGTTGTCATGACAAAGACGCTGACAGGTTATGATGGTTTATGTCAAGTTGTCATGACAAAGACGCTGACAGGTTATGATGGTTTATGCCAAGTTGTCATGACAAAGACACTGACAGGTTATGATGGTTTATGTCAAGTTGTCATGACAAAGACACTGACAGGTTATGATGGTTTATGCCAAGTTGTCATGTAAAAGACACTGACAGGTTATGATGTATTATTGTTTTTTGTCAAGTTGTCATGACAAAGACACTGACAGGTTATGATGGTTTATGTCAAGTTGTCATGACAAAGACGCTGACAGGTTATGATGGTTTATGTCAAGTTGTCATGACAAAGACACTGACAGGTTATGATGGTTTATGCCAAGTTGTCATGACAAAGACACTGACAGGTTATGATGTATTATTGTTTTTTGTCAAGTTGTCATGACAAAGACACTGACAGGTTATGATGTATTATTGTTTTTTGTCAAGTTGTCATGACAAAGACACTAACAGGTTATGATGGTTTATGTCAAGTTGTCATGACAAAGACACTGACAGGTTATGATGGTTTATGCCAAGTTGTCATGACAAAGACACTGACAGGTTATGATGTATTATTGTTTTTTGTCAAGTTGTCATGACAAAGACACTGACAGGTTATGATGTATTATTGTTTTTTGTCAAGTTGTCATGACAAAGACACTAACAGGTTATGATGGTTTATGTCAAGTTGTCATGACAAAGACACTGACAGGTTATGATGGTTTATGCCAAGTTGTCATGACAAAGACACTGACAGGTTATGATGTATTATTGTTTTTTGTCAAGTTGTCATGACAAAGACACTGACAGGTTATGATGTATTATTGTTTTTTGTCAAGTTGTCATGACAAAGACACTGACAGGTTATGATGGTTTATGTCAAGTTGTCATGACAAAGACACTGACAGGTTATGATGTATTATTGTTTTTTGTCAAGTTGTCATGACAAAGACACTGACAGGTTATGATGGTTTATGTCAAGTTGTCATGACAAAGACGCTGACAGGTTATGATGGTTTATGTCAAGTTGTCATGACAAAGACACTAACAGGTTATGATGGTTTATGTCAAGTTGTCATGACAAAGACACTGACAGGTTATGATGGTTTATGCCAAGTTGTCATGACAAAGACACTGACAGGTTATGATGTATTATTGTTTTTTGTCAAGTTGTCATGACAAAGACACTGACAGGTTATGATGGTGTATGTCAAGTTGTCATGACAAAGACACTGACAGGTTATGATGTATTATTGGTTTGTGTCAAGTTGTCATGACAAAGACGCTGACAGGTTATGATGGTTTATGTCAAGTTGTCATGACAAAGACACTGACAGGTTATGATGGTTTATGTCAAGTTGTCATGTAAAAGACACTGACAGATTATGATGTATTATTGGTTTATGTCAAGTTGTCATGACAAAGACACTGACAGGTTATGATGGTTTATGTCAAGTTGTCATGACAAAGACAATGACAGGTTATGATGGTTTATGTCAAGTTGTCATGACAAAGACGCTGACAGGTTATGATGGTTTATGTCAAGTTGTCATGACAAAGACACTGACAGGTTATGATGGTTTATGTCAAGTTGTCATGACAAAGACACTGACAGGTTATGATGGTTTATGTCAAGTTGTCATGACAAAGACGCTGACAGGTTATGATGGTTTATGTCAAGTTGTCATGTAAAAGACACTGACAGATTATGATGTATTATTGGTTTATGTCAAGTTGTCATGACAAAGACACTGACAGGTTATGATGGTTTATGTCAAGTTGTCCTGACAAAGACAATGACAGGTTATGATGGTTTATGTCAAGTTGTCATGACAAAGACGCTGACAGGTTATGATGGTTTATGTCAAGTTGTCATGTAAAAGACACTGACAAGTTATGATGTATTATTGGTTTATGTCAAGTTGTCATGACAAAGACGCTGACAGGTTATGATGAATTATTGGTTTATGTCAAGTTGTCATGACAAAGACACTGACAGGTTATGATGGTTTATGTCAAGTTGTCATGACAAAGACACTGACAGGTTATGATGGTTTATGTCAAGTTGTCATGACAAAGACGCTGACAGGTTATGATGGTTTATGTCAAGTTGTCATGACAAAGACACTGACAGGTTATGATGGTTTATGTCAAGTTGTCATGACAAAGACACTGACAGGTTATGATGGTTTATGTCAAGTTGTCATGACAAAGACACTGACAGGTTATGATGTATTATTGGTTTGTGTCAAGTTGTCATGACAAAGACGCTGACAGGTTATGATGGTTTATGTCAAGTTGTCATGAAAAAGACACTGACAGGTTATGACGAATTATTGGTTTATGTCAAGTTGTCATGACAAAGACACTAACAGGTTATGATGGTTTATGTCAAGTTGTCATGACAAAGACACTAACAGGTTATGATGGTTTATGTCAAGTTGTCATGACAAAGACGCTGACAGGTTATGATGGTTTATGTCAAGTTGTCATGTAAAAGACACTGACAAGTTATGATGTATTATTGGTTTATGTCAAGTTGTCATGACAAAGACACTGACAGGTTATGATGGTTTATGTCAAGTTGTCATGACAAAGACGCTGACAGGTTATGATGGTTTATGTCAAGTTGTCATGACAAAGACACTGACAGGTTATGATGGTTTATGTCAAGTTGTCATGACAAAGACACTGACAGGTTATGATGGTTTATGTCAAGTTGTCATGACAAAGACGCTGACAGGTTATGATGGTTTATGTCAAGTTGTCATGACAAAGACACTGACAGGTTATGATGGTTTATGTCAAGTTGTCATGTAAAAGACACTGACAGATTATGATGTATTATTGGTTTATGTCAAGTTGTCATGACAAAGACACTGACAGGTTATGATGGTTTATGTCAAGTTGTCATGACAAAGACAATGACAGGTTATGATGGTTTATGTCAAGTTGTCATGACAAAGACGCTGACAGGTTATGATGGTTTATGTCAAGTTGTCATGTAAAAGACACTGACAAGTTATGATGTATTATTGGTTTATGTCAAGTTGTCATGACAAAGACACTGACAGGTTATGATGGTTTATGTCAAGTTGTCATGACAAAGACACTGACAGGTTATGATGGTTTATGTCAAGTTGTCATGACAAAGACGCTGACAGGTTATGATGGTTTATGTCAAGTTGTCATGTAAAAGACACTGACAGATTATGATGTATTATTGGTTTATGTCAAGTTGTCATGACAAAGACACTGACAGGTTATGATGGTTTATGTCAAGTTGTCATGTAAAAGACACTGACAAGTTATGATGTATTATTGGTTTATGTCAAGTTGTCATGACAAAGACGCTGACAGGTTATGATGAATTATTGGTTTATGTCAAGTTGTCATGACAAAGACACTGACAGGTTATGATGGTTTATGTCAAGTTGTCATGACAAAGACACTGACAGGTTATGATGGTTTATGTCAAGTTGTCATGACAAAGACGCTGACAGGTTATGATGGTTTATGTCAAGTTGTCATGACAAAGACACTGACAGGTTATGATGGTTTATGTCAAGTTGTCATGACAAAGACACTGACAGGTTATGATGGTTTATGTCAAGTTGTCATGACAAAGACACTGACAGGTTATGATGTATTATTGGTTTGTGTCAAGTTGTCATGACAAAGACGCTGACAGGTTATGATGGTTTATGTCAAGTTGTCATGAAAAAGACACTGACAGGTTATGACGAATTATTGGTTTATGTCAAGTTGTCATGACAAAGACACTAACAGGTTATGATGGTTTATGTCAAGTTGTCATGACAAAGACACTAACAGGTTATGATGGTTTATGTCAAGTTGTCATGACAAAGACGCTGACAGGTTATGATGGTTTATGTCAAGTTGTCATGTAAAAGACACTGACAAGTTATGATGTATTATTGGTTTATGTCAAGTTGTCATGACAAAGACACTGACAGGTTATGATGGTTTATGTCAAGTTGTCATGACAAAGACGCTGACAGGTTATGATGGTTTATGTCAAGTTGTCATGACAAAGACACTGACAGGTTATGATGGTTTATGTCAAGTTGTCATGACAAAGACACTGACAGGTTATGATGGTTTATGTCAAGTTGTCATGACAAAGACACTGACAGGTTATGATGTATTATTGGTTTGTGTCAAGTTGTCATGACAAAGACGCTGACAGGTTATGATGGTTTATGTCAAGTTGTCATGAAAAAGACACTGACAGGTTATGACGAATTATTGGTTTATGTCAAGTTGTCATGACAAAGACACTAACAGGTTATGATGGTTTATGTCAAGTTGTCATGACAAAGACACTAACAGGTTATGATGGTTTATGTCAAGTTGTCATGACAAAGACGCTGACAGGTTATGATGGTTTATGTCAAGTTGTCATGTAAAAGACACTGACAAGTTATGATGTATTATTGGTTTATGTCAAGTTGTCATGACAAAGACGCTGACAGGTTATGATGAATTATTGGTTTATGTCAAGTTGTCATGACAAAGACACTGACAGGTTATGATGGGTTATGTCAAGTTGTCACGACAAAGACGCTGACAGGTTATGATGGTTTATGTCAAGGTGTCATAACACAGACATCTCAAACAATGTCATATTTGCATTAAAAATGTCATAATTGAGCGAATGACACTTAATGACAGTTGTCATAAACATGCATAAAACCTCCTTCATACTCATGACATGTGTCATGATTATGAAGGTGCCATGTCAGTCTTATGCACACCCCTTCAAGTAAAGTGTTGCCGGTACGTGTCTTTCATCATCAAAAGGAGCTGCTAAGTTGCCCAGATAAATTGTAGTAAATGATCAATCAATTCCATCACCAAAAATAAAATGTATTGCTTGTATTTCCTCTCCAGACGTGACTCTGCCATCAGATCTGGCCCGCTCCTCCAGCTCCTCAGTGTTGAAGGACGGCATGGAAGAAACCCGGAGCTCGAGCGGAGCAGCGGTGCGTGTGTATCGGGAGATGCTGCACATCTACGAGAAGCTGCAGGTAATGATCAGTCATATCTGTGTGATATGAGTGTCAATCAGGGTTATTATAATTAACTGAACACTTATAAAAATGTGAATTGAAATAAAATAACTGACATTCTTTTATTTCAGCCAGTTGCAAAGGGAGCATTTCTCATTTTATTTAGTTTAAATTGATGTATTAAAATTGCTAAAACTGAAGTAAAAATGATTATCAACTATATAGACAGACATAAAAAAAGAGGTTCTTAATGGTTACAAATCTGTTTTCATCTTTGTTTTGTGTTTTGTCTCACTGTCAAGCTTAAAATGTGAGAATGAATGAATGAAGACTGTAGTTTCCTGTGCTTTAGAGATCCATTTATTGGTGTTCCTGAATATTGGTTAAAAATATCACTTTATATTATTAGCCTCTAGTTATCATATTGTTATTGGTTGTTGTGAGTGTGAGAGAGAGAGTGAGTGTGTGTGTGTGAGTGAGTGAGTGTGTGTCTGTGAGTGTGAGAGAGTGAGTGTGTACTAAGTGATGTTTTTTGTAAATGTAAAAACACAAAAAGTTGTGTGTGATGGGTAGGTTTAGGGGTCGGGTTAGTGTGTGTGATGGGTAGGTTTAGGGGTCGGGTTAGTGTGTGTGTGTGTGATGGGTACGTTTAGGGATCGGGTTAGTGTGTGTGTGTGTGTGTGTGATGGGTAGGTTTAGGGGTCGGGTTAGTGTGTGATGGGTAGGTTTAGGGGTCGGGTTAGTGTGTGTGATGGGTAGGTTTAGGGGTCGGGTTAGTGTGTGTGTGTGATGGGTACGTTTAGGGATCGGGTTAGTGTGTGTGTGTGTGATGGGTAGGTTTAGGGGTCAGGTTAGTGTGTGTGTGTGATGGGTACGTTTAGGGATCGGGTTAGTGTGTGTGTGTGTGTGTGTGTGATGGGTAGGTTTAGGGGTCGGGTTAGTGTGTGATGGGTAGGTTTAGGGGTCGGGTTAGTGTGTGATGGGTAGGTTTAGGGGTCGGGTTAGTGTGTGTGATGGGTACGTTTAGGGATCGGGTTAGTGTGTGTGTGTGTGATGGGTAGGTTTAGGGATCGGGTTAGTGTGTGTGTGTGTGATGGGTAGGTTTAGGGGTCAGGTTAGTGTGTGTGTGTGATGGGTAGGTTTAGGGGTCGGGTTAGTGTGTGTGATGGGTAGGTTTGGGGGTCGGGTTAGTGTGTGTGTGATGGATACGTTTAGGGATGGGGTTAGTGTGTGTGTGTGTGTGTGTGTGTGTGTGTGTGTGTGTGTGTGTGTGTGTGTGTGTGATGGGTAGGTTTAGGGATCGGGTTAGTGTGTGTGTGTGATGGGTAGGTTTAGGGCTCAGGTTAGTGTGTGTGTGTGTGATGGGTAGGTTTAGGGGTCAGGTTAGTGTGTGTGTGTGTGTGATGGGTAGGTTTAGGGCTCAGGTTAGTGTGTGTGTGTGTGTGATGGGTAGGTTTAGGGGTCAGGTTAGTGTAAGGGGACAGTCAGAATATACAGTTTGTACAGTATAAAAACATAGTCTATGAAATGTCCCTATAAAACATGAAAACCCACCGTGTGTGTGTGTGTGTCGAGGCGGAGCGGCTCAGTCAGCAGGTGTGGGCGGCAGAACTGTGTGAGCGAGAGCGGGATCTTCAGCGGAGAGAAAACACACTCGTGCAGCAGCAGAGCAGCGCTCACAGACTCCGAGTCGTGGAGGAGGAGATGCTCAGACGCGTACAGGTCACAACCTTTATTACTGTGTG